TATAAGAATACGAAAATATCAAATACGTATAAATAGCCTGAAAATATTAGGAATGTTTTGAAAATTGTGTAACATTTACAAAAGGCCAATAGTATTTTGTGAAAACTACAGGTAATCTATACAAATTTTTAATCGAATAACAACAAAAAACCCAAATGCCGTACACTTTGCTGTGTGAAAAATCAAACAACTTTCTCACTCACAAATTGAACAACATTTTCATTCGGAAAATATGCTTTTATCTGGACAAAGATTGCTATTGGAAAAATTTAATCTTAACAATTTTAAATAATGAAATTGTTGCGCCGTTATTTGAAAAAATCTTTTTTTTTTTTTTTTTGGTTATTCCGAATTACTATGAAAACTACTTTAGTTATCAAAAAATGATTTTTCCGTCAAAACGGCTGGATATTAAATGGAACGAAATCGATCTTATGTCATTTTTCAATTGGAGCAAGATTTCTGGCACAAAACACAAATCACGAAAACTAATAACAATAATATCGGTAACGCCGCAAAATATTTGCCGTTTCACCGTCAATTCTCTCTCCGGTTTTTCCCATTCATTTGGAAAACTCCTCGGAAAATCGAAAATCACCTCTCAAACCAGAGAAAATTTCCTCCCGGAGAAGGCACTACACTTTACGTATCGAGTCGAAATTTCCGTCAGAAAAGTCGTTTGAAGACTGAAGAAACAAATACACGTTTATACGCGTAAAAAATACACGTCATGACGAAACCAACAAGTCTCTCGCCGCGCACGCACATTGTGTTATCGTTACGCTACGCGGACATATCTCCGGTGGCACGCTGAAAAATCGTATTTCCCCCCCCCCCGCCCAATATAATTCCCTACGAAATTTCGTCCGCACTACGTTGTTATGATTGTTCGTGCGTTTCGTTTTTATCGTCATTCAGAACAAATTAAACGGGTAAATACCTACGGCTACTCTAGAATTTGGAATAAAAATAAAAGTACCGTTTTAGTTTCGCGTATACCGCCTCTTGGTCGACGTCCAAAAAACCTGGCCAATATTCGTGCGTATACACCGTCCGTCCGTATTCTATACGTGAGTGTGGTTTATTTAGCCGCAGAATCCGTTTGAAATAATAATTTTTATATTGCCGTACGATATCGCAAAACACAAATTCTCGAAATTTGATGTAAATTGACAATTAAAAATATATATAACTGTACAACTATCTATATATAAAATATATATCCGTTATTAATTTTAGTGGGATTTGTCGTACGGGCTACCAAACGGCGGGGAGGGGGAGGGGTGTTGGAGTGAATATTTCGCCCCTCCCCCCACCATGACCTTGGCATAATCAATTCATTATATATTATAAAAAAAAGACGTACATACCTCACACAATGGGTGGACCACTGTTGTAGGTGTGAGGTTGGGTAAGTTGGTAAGAATATGGAGGGAAATGTTATTGTATATCTGTGTGCAACACTGTATTAGCCATTGCTAATGAAAAACGATTCTGAACGTAGTTTGGTTTTGCGATACTTTATTAAAAGTCCGTGATATTTACTGTTTTCATCAATATTTGATATTCAAATTCGTATAAAAAAAATATACTATATTATTTTTTTATTTTTTTTTGGCCACAAGGTACGACTTATAATGAATCTCTTGTTAAATTTTCAAGTATTTCTTTTTGGTCAAACAATTTTACCCACAGAGTACCTATCAAATAAATAAATAAATATGGTATAAAAACTAGTAAAATTAAAATGTTTATAAATAGCTCAAAATAAGCTAAAATGTCTAAAAACGACAAATATTAGTGTTCTATCCAAATTTTAAGTCTTTACATTTCTAGCTGAATGACAATAAAAAAACAAAATTTATGGTACTACATTTCGTAAATTTTCCCATTTTTCATACATTTTTTCCCATTTATAATGAAAACTTCTGAAAAATTAAAAATTTACCTGGTTAAAGTACCATCCCAGTCCAATTTCCTTTTAATAAAAGTGCTATATTTAATAATCGGAGCAAAATTTCAAGTAAAAAAGTTATTAACAAAAAAAAAAAAATAATAAACATCATTGTAAAGCCAATATATTCCTTGCTACGTTCCAAATCGAAAGTGCATTAAAAATAATAAGAATAATGTAAATTATAATAATTGTTCAAAAATGTTTTGAAAAATCAAGCACATCCCTCGCGAAAATATTATTTGGCCTCCACTGGTCTGATACAACGAGCGAACACTCGTTATTATAATTATTTAAAGTTTCAGTCAGAGTAGTGGAAAAGAGTAGAGATGATCAATATTTTCCATTCGCCGTTTTTCCAGGGGTATACGAGTATAAACTTTAGTTTTTAAACTATAACGTATTAACAATGAACCGTTAGTGTATAATATTGTGCATTTTAGTAATTTTATTTTACATTTTAAATATTATACTGAAAGTTAAACAAATATCTTTCAAAAAAAAAAAAAAAAAAAATCTTTTAATCAAATGTTTATAAATCGCTTTCAGTTTGTAATATTATTAATTAAAGCAACAGCCAATAAACGTGTTTTACCATTTTGTTTGTGCAAACAAATTCAACTATATGATTTAAGCCAATAATACCAATAGCTTGGCGGCCGCCGATTACCTACATTTCTCCTAATGGACTCAACAGTCAACAGCTTTGAACTGTGCCGTAAATACTTTCCTGACGTTTCCATTTTGGAGTTTTAGACATTAGTATTGTAAAGAAATCAATAAACAAACAGTTAAATATTTTTAGAATATTATCGAACAACCGAGACTTCCACACTTTTCGCATTTTAAATCCGACGTAAAAGAACGGAAGCCATTCCATTGTATTCTATATTAATTTCAGAAAACTATTTTTTTGATTTTTTCAATTTTTTGTGATAAAAATTATGGTTTGTTATTTACGTCGCTCAACACGTCAAGTTACCATCAGTAATATTTCTGTGTGTATTTTTTAGATATATCCATAAAATAAAACAGTAAACCGGATATTTATAGTCTACATAATATAAGATTATTATACATTACATTTATTATGTATTTTTTGTTTATTTATCTATATTACGTTCAATAAAAACATTCATTTTTTTTATTTTTTTATAAGTGTACAACGAGAAAATTAAAATTCATAATTACAATGAGTTAATTTTAGTTTTTTACCGTCAGTTATTGTCATTATTACTGTCAGTTACTCTGACACTATTTGTAAAGTTTTTTTTTTTTTTTTAGATTCGTAGCGGGTTTATTATGATATGTTTTTATTTTTAATTTTTTTTTTTTTGTCTGTAAACAACTTTTTGAAAATAAATCTTTCTCTAGTGTACAGAGGATAGTACCTTTTCTAAAAGGAAATTTTGTCTAATTGGTACACGAGAGAGTTCATTTTTTTGATTTTCCAAAGGGTTTTCAAAATAATTGGAAAAACCCCGAAAGAAAATTATAGACAAAACAAAATCGTTTTTTTTGATTTTCCATGTAGATTTTAAATAATTGAGCAAAACCGAAAAAAAAACCGTAGAAAGAACGGGAAAATTTACTTATGTTATTATTTTCAATTATTATTTTTATTTCGTTATAATTCAATTAAAAATATTCGTAGAGACTTGAAATTTAGACAGAAAATGTGTAATCGAACTTCGCTCCGAATACTTTTTTCAAGCAATGGTTTATCGTTGGTTACAGGTATAAATTAAATAACTTTATGTAAAAATTACCTTCCCAACTATGCACCTACAACAGTGGCCGCACCCGTTTTCGATATCAGCTATTTTTATTTGTAAACGGTCATAAATCAAGACCAACTATTCTGGAATGGACAGAATGATTAGCGAATTTAACAAGGTGTGTGCGGAATTCAATCGTCGAAATACTAAAATGTCACCGCAGATGTTTTGGTATTTCAAGTGATGCGCTCCTTTGCCAAAAGTAATAATAATAATATTAACAATATACAACAATCATTATTTTTTAGATAATGAAATTTTTTTTTTTTTAAATAAAAAACTGCTTGCGGTTTATCAGGAACAAAAATAAAATTAAACGCTAATACATTAAAAATAATTATAAACATACAATTCGTTCAATATATTTGTTTTCAACAATTTTTTGAATTTGTTTTGGACGGTTTATCATCTTTTCCGAAAATTTCCGAAAATTGTATTGTATTCTTTGTATTGCTGATCTTTGTTTTCGTTTTCATTTATAAGTTTTATGTCAACATTTCAAGACTTGACAAACATTTGTAACTGAACTACAAAAAAAAAAAAAAAAAAATTGATACTGGGAACGGGTACGGTAACCATTGGTAGGTAGTTGGAAAATGGGAAATTTATCTAAAGATATCTAAAGTAATTTAATTTATATTTGTACTCAAAGATAAACAATGGTTAACAAAAAACAATTTGGAGCAAAGTTCGGTAAGATATATTTTAAAATACCGTAATTTTTACGATTTTTGTCAAAATTTAATGTTAAAACGCTCGTGAAAAAAAAAACTAATGCATTAAACTCAAATTTGTTTTTCAGACCACTAAGAAATGTTCAATGGTTTTTTGTTGGTTACAGGTATAAATTAAATAACTTTATGTATTCCACCTTTCCAACTACCCACCTACAACAGTGGCCGCACCCGTCCCCAATATTATAGCTCTTTTTTATTACAAATACACTGGTCAAAGCTTATTAGCGATACAATAAAAAAAACATTCCAATAAAACGACTCGTATTTAATTTTACGGGTAATATTGATAAACAATAATTTAATAGTTTCAATTTAATATTCGGTTGTTTTGATCACCACGATCGCTTATAATGCGTCGAACGTCACGGGTTTCTCATTCGACATTATATAATTTGTTTCGTTTTACATAATACAATATGTATTATATTGTCCGAAATATCGCCCCGTACGTCGCGGAACAGATGACGACAGTAAAAGAGTTGCCAAAAAAAAAAAAAAATGGTTTAAAAAAATTCTCATTGCCAACCCAGCAGAGCTTTAACGGACGACGAGGAGTTACGCTCAGGCTGTAAGTACGAACGAACGCGTCAACCGAGTGTCGTGTGATGTGCTTTCGGTAGTGAATATATTTTTCTTCCAGGGGGCTCGATGGATCTTAGATGGATTTTGATTATCGCCCTGCTTAGCGTCAGAGGTAATTCTATAATACTATTATTGTTATTATTATTATTATTATATTTATTATTAGTATTTTTGTAATAATTTTTACAAGAAGGTAATACCCCCCTTGTATTATAATACAGCTGTTGTGTTTGTCGTATTATTACGATTATTATTATGGAAAATATATATATTTTTTTTATTTGCGTGAAAATATTATCGCGTGTATATACCTGCTGCAGCGTACCGATGATTTGTGAGCTTTTTAATGGGACATTTTTTTTTTTTTTAATATTATTATTATTATATTAAAAAACATTAAGCGCGTATAGTATATAAATGTGTAAGTATGTATATGTGTATTCGTTGATTCCCCTAAATAATATATCATTTAAACGACGCCGTTTAGGGCCGCCATTTATGCGGGGGCTGTATATTATAATTGGAACATGACTAAAAGCCCGTAAATACTGCAGCACCGTCGGCGTAAAAATAGCGTATACCGCTTGGAAAATAGTATCGAAACGGTTTCAAGAAAGTGTACACCTATAAATAAAAATTTAAAAATGTCATCCTTTTTGCGGTATCTGAACGCCGATATTGCACTATTAATTTACCTACTGCATTAACGTTAAAAATTTGCATGGCCTCGAATCGTACAATAATATCTTAAAATATCAAAACAGTTTGCGACAGTATTATAAAAATACGATAACTGCGCTCGTTTTATACGGGTCAATATTATTATTATTATTATAACCATCACTACTATTTTTTTTTTCACGACATATTATACACGATGAAAAATTATAATACGTATTATCCAAACCATGAATTTAACATAGTGGGGGAGGGGTGTTTTTTAATGTTATTACAATCTTAATTATATATTATTATGCATACGGGTATACTCAGGACCTTAACCAATAGGCTGAATGTGGTGTAGCCTATAGCGCCAACCGGCCAATGTTAAATAAGGGGGTTGATGTTTTTAATTTATTTATTTCAAAAACCGGGTAGCTCTATATATCAATGAGCATGGGCGTAGCGGCCTTTTTTTATGGTATGCAAGAATTTATAGAGAATGGTTGTTTACGAAAATTTGGAGATGAGCAAAAAAAAAAGTCATCGCCAAATCCATTCCAGCTTACTGAATGAAAAACCTGTTCACCAGGCCCTGGGTATACTAATGCGCGATTCGTTATAAAAGCTCAACTTACGGGTTGGCATTTAAATAGTCGATGTATAATTTACCAATATTATTGTTTTGACGGAAATATTATAATATTATAGTGGTTTTTGAAATCATTTTCAAGACCACCGTGACACACGATTTTCCCGTTTAACAGTAGTTAAATAGTAATACGAAAAAAAATGTCCTATTTTGTTCATCGGAAAAAGCCGTTTTTCGTAAAATTGGAAACGCCTATGCTTACGGCAGTCTCGCCGGTCGCGACATTTCTATTTCGGTAGGGGCATTAGGTTATGTTGTGTATTAATAGTGTACCGACAGAACACAACTGGGACACTCTGGTTGCAATTTTCTATTTTTATATTACCAGCGACCGTCTGGGATTTTTTTTTTTTTTATTAAATACTCTCCCGCACACGATTACTTTATATCAATCATTATTATTTTTGTTTTGTCGAATTTTTCTGCTTACTTACTTTTTTATGTCATTACCTATTGCATAATAATTTGTCTGTCTTACGTCAATTTTTATACGAGCATGTATATTATAATAATATATATTTATTTTATTTTTCACCTACCTACTGTGGCCGTGTCCGTCAAGCTAATCTCCTGACTCTAAAATTAGAATCATTTATTATTTTCATTATTCAATTTTACTTCGTCACTGATTTTGGTTTAGATACATTTTGTGAGCCTTTTGCCAGTGTACCGTCGGCGTCTATAGCTCCATCAGAGGTGGACTGTCAACCATACGTAGAGAAAGCCATCAAAGAATTAGTTACTTCAGAACCTATTGGTAGTTAGATATATATATTTAAAATTTTTAAACTTCGATACATATTATATTCAGGAAGTGTATCATATTCAGGAAGTACAGAAAATCACCAAACCGTCCAAAATGAAAGCCCCACAAGTGGAAGCACTCCAAATGATGATGTTACAGGCTCGAGTTCTCAAGATGGTAATTCTCCGGATGATAGCAGACCGAGTACACCGCCCCAACCGGTAAACAAATAATTTAAATATTTAGAATACGGCTAGTAATCTAAAAGTAATTTTTATTTTTGTATAATTTTTAGGAAAAGTTCGAAAAAAAAGAAGAGACAACCGGAAGCGAAATAAATTTAAATGATGTTGTTGTTACAAACATAAATGAACAAAACAATGTAACAAATGAAGAAGTTCACCCAAGTGAGGTAGTTGAAGATAGCCAATCAAATAAAACTGAAGAAGAAGATGAAATTGCAATCGTTAGTGAAGAAGATGAAATTTCGGAAAACATTAGTAGTGTCGATGAAAAGGAAGTAATAGAACCAATAACAGAAACTTTACCAATTATTTTAGACAAAGATCTGGTTAAGGATAACATTCAAATTACAATTGATATTGGTGATATATCAATTAAAAATAATGGGAACCTAAAAGAATCAAGTTTACCAGAGATAAAGATAGAAGAAAAAGTAGACATCACTAAAACAAATACAGAACCTCCTAAGCAGATCTTTAAGGGAACAAAGAAAAGGAATTCGAAATATTGGAAGTTTGATCCGGATGATGAATCTGAAAATTCAGCACCCATTGTAAAAGCGAAACCAAAAAGAAATCTAAAATATTGGAAAATCGATCCGGATGAAATTCTTCTTGAAGAAGCGCCAAAACCAGTAGAAACTCCAAAAAGGCGTAATCCTAAATATTGGAAAATCGACCCGGAAGAAGAAAAATTGTATAACCAAGCAGAGGCCAATAAAAAAGAAGAAAATATAAAACCAGTGAAGAGTAAAAGAAATCCTAAGTATTGGAAGTTCGACCCAGACGAAGAAGAAACAAAAAAGTCCGATGATACGAATGAAGTGAGACTTACAGAACCTGCAGCAAATGAAAAGATCTCTGAGCAAAGTACGAAAGAAGTTTTTAAAGGAACAAAAAAACGGAATCCAAAATATTGGAAGTTTGATCCGGATGAATTTGTAACTCAAGATGAAATAAAAAAAGAACCAGAAACAAAAAAAAAACGAAATCCCAAATACTGGAAGTTTGATCCAGATGAAGATCTAGACAAACCTGAAAAACAGGAAGTAGAAAAGAAAGAGGAAAAAGTTGGAAAAAAAAGTAAGTATTGGAAAATAGATGAAACGGTGAAAGATACGGTCGAAGATTCGAAAATAATTGTTGAAAAAGAAGAAGAGAAACCAAAAAAGAATAAGTATTGGAAAATAGAAGAACCCTCTAACGACATTAAAATAGAGAAAAAGGAAGAAGTAGTAGCAAAGACTACCCAATATAAGAAAACTGAACCAGTTGAAAATATAGTAACCAAACAAGAGGAACCAACAACGAAGAAGAATAAATACTGGAAAACAGAAGAAACGGAAAAACCAAAAGAAGAAGTGAAAGAGGAGGATATAAAAAAAAAGAATAAATATTGGAAAACAGACGAAAAACCCGCAGATCCAATTCAAGAAAAAATTATAGAAACTCAAAGAGATATGTACTGGAAACTGGACGAAGAAGCAAAGTCATCGAAATTAGAGAAACCTGCTACTGAAGAAAAAGCAACTAAAACAAAAGCAGGTAAATTATAAGTGCATATTATACAATGACTATTAATAAGAATTTTTTTTATTGTTTTTTTTTCTCTTTTTGAACAAATAGTTGTCGAAGAAGATACATCACTAGATGAAGACTTGACAATGGTAATACAAATACATTTAATTTAATAACATATAGGTATATCACAAAAAAAAATAATAAGAATATTGCAATAATATAACTCTGAATATCTATATATTTGAAGTAATCTTAAATTTAAAAAAAAAAGACGGACATACTTCGCACATGATTTGACCCCTGTTGTAGGTGTTGGGAAAGTAGAGGGAAAATTTAATGTATATCTGTACGCAACGCTTAACCATTGCTAAGGAAAAAACGATTCTGAGTGGAGTTCGATTAATAGTGTTGCTTTGTCAAAAATATATATATATATATATATATATATATATATATATTATGCATTATACATTTTCTTTAATAATATTTGTTTAATATTGCACCTACTTTCCCATTTTTCGATGTTTTTCTCGTTTATTATAGAAACAGTTGAGAAAATCAAAAAATCACCTTCTTAAAATACCACCTCAGTCAGATTTCTTTTCAGAAAAAGTGCTATCATTGAAAACCGGAGCAATATTGCTGGTAGAAAAGTTGTCCACAGAAAAAATAAATATACTTCATTTTAAAACCAATACATTTCTCGCTTCACTCAGAATCTAAAAAAGATAATACTGCTGATGGGTGCGCCACTGTTTTAGGTGGAAATTGGAAAGGTAGGATATATAAAGTTATTCAATGCATATCTGTAAACAACGATAAGCCATTGTTAACCAAAAACAATTCTGAGCGAAGTTCGTTAACACGTGATTTAAAAGGCCATAATTTCTACGATTTTCATTAAAATTTAATTTTAAAACCATTATAAAAAGAACTACTATATTACTTCAACTTTTTTTTACCAATAAATACAACTTAAAATGAACCTCGTGTTAAATATTTAAATCATTTATGCTTGGTTCAATAATTTTATTCACTAAGTACCTACCTATGAAAAATTGTCTAAAACCTAGAAAATGTAAAATGCCTATAAATTGCTCAAAAATAACTTCAAAATATTTTGAATATTTTATCGTAACTAGAAAAAATCACTATAAGTTTTCTGTCAGAATGTCTAGTTTCTACAAATATTTTTAAACGAATTACAACAAAAAATAAAATTGAAACCATGATTTCCGTAAAATTGCTAATTCTTTCTACGTTCTTCTCCAGTTGTGCTTAATTATTAAAAATAACTACCCGGAAAATTCGTTTGGTATCTTACTACTCACCGACTAGATTGAAAATAAAATAAAAAATTCTCTTATCATTTTTCGATTGGAGCAATATTTCTGAAAGAAAATATAAACTGTACACAAACCATAAGACTATTGCTCACAGGCACGAAAAATAAAAAAAACACACATCATAGTAACTCGCTACGCTCGAAATCTAAAAAAATCGTAGAAAACTTATTTTAAATAATATAAATTCAAATATTTCATATTCATAGGACGAAGTTATGCCAAAGAATTTGAGAAATAAAAGTCACGTAAAGGAAACGTTAAAAATTGGCGAAAACACCGCACAACATGATAGTTTTCTGTCAAAAGTGGTCGATTCCACATTGAAAGAATTAAAAAAAGTGTATGAAGCAGCGATTAAACCGTTGGAATTGACTTTCAAGTACAGAGATTTAAGTAACAGACATTTTGGAGGTAACATTATAATATTATATAATTATTGTGTATACTTTAGGCCTCTATATAAGAATACCGGATTTGTGTATAAAACTAAAAACTTTATACGCGAGTAAATAAATAAAATTAATTTATACAATTTATTTGCGTGTTAACTACGTGTAGGTACTTAATATTATTATTATTACTGTTATTTAGAACCAGAAATATTTTCCAAGCCTCTTGTACTTTTTATGGGACCTTGGAGTGGTGGCAAGTCTTCCATAATTAACTATCTTCTGGACATTGAACATTCTCAATTTGCATTAAGAACTGGTGAGTAATTTATCATGAGCTTAATGCCGACGAATATTTTTAAAAGATAATTTAATAATTAGTTTGTTCGAAACGCTAATCGAACTAGCGTTCATAATTGTGTATATATATATATTATTGAATGAGATTTATAAACCAATAAATTGTAATAAGTACCTACTTTATTGACAACATTTATCATTTATTACAAAAACCAAAACACTGAAAACCAATCATTTATGCGATTTCCTTTTTTTTTTTTTTTTTTTGGTCGTTATATAATATATAAAGTATTCAACGTATTTCAAATAAAACTTAAATTTTATGTTTATTATTTATAATTTAAAAATCCACTCGTATTGCGAAGAAATTAAGATTAAATCGTTCGTTTTACACGCCAGTAACATTTTAAATTGATTTATCATAACCATGTAAAAATGTATAGGAGCTGAACCGTCTCCAGCTTATTTCAACATCATGATGTACAATAACCGCGAAGCGATTCTGGACGGAACTCAATTAGCCGCCGACTGGACGTTTTCGGGCTTACAAAAGTTTGGACAAGGTCTGCTGGATAAACTCCGCGGACTCAAATTACCTCATCCTTTATTAGAAAAGGTAAATAGTAATTCACGTCGATGTATTCGGTACAATAATATATTGGGCGCGTTACAGGTGAACATAGTGGAGATCCCCGGGATTCTGGAAATGCGCAAGCACGTGGACCGCGTTTTTCCGTTCAACGATGTGTGTCAGTGGTTCATAGACAGAGCTGACGTGATATTCTTAGTGTACGACCCGGCTAAATTGGACGTGGGCCCGGAAACCGAAGCGATATTGGACCAACTCAAAGGCAGAGAATATCAGGTAAGATGAGAATCCTTATGAGGTGGTAATATTATATTTTGCATTATTTATTATAATATTTTTTTCCGTAGCTTAAACCAGTGGCGCCGCTTTTGATTATTGATATTGTAACCACTCCCCGAAAATTAAGTTTTTTTTTTTTATCCATTTTATGATAACAGTGTTTTATTGTTTCGCAACTATAACAGATCGTCCCCGTCCGTAATTTAAAATAATTTCCCTCGCCAATCACCATTCGGGCGGGCAATAATTACCACAATGTAATCCCGGTCGCGCCACAAATATATAATTCGAACAATATAAACTCGCGCTCGTGTCTGTCGTATTATAATTACAGACGAGAATACTGTTGAACAAAGCGGACAAAATTCGCGCCGAGGAATTGATGCGCATACAGGGTACGCTTATATGGAACATAAGTCCGCTCATGTCAAGCGCGGAGCCTCCGACCATCTACTCGGTTTCCCTGTGGTCGAACCCGTACGAAATCGGATCACCGGCCAGGCTGCTGCACTCGCAGGAATTGTCGTTCCTGCGGGACATCCGGTCTGCCATTGACAGACGCGTCGAGAACAAAATAGCCAGTGCTCGGCGATTTGCGGTGCGTACATTGATTTCGTATTTTAAAGTTATGCGTTTAACGTACAATTATTATATAGTCTCGGCTCACGGTTTTCGACTTTTGCCGTTTTCGGTATAAATTGAAGTAAAAATATTACGGTTACATCCGATGGCTGATTTAAGCAACGGAACAAAATACTATCGTACGGTTTTTTCTTCGTTTTTTTTTTTTTTTTAAAACAAAAAAATGCATAAATAAATATATTCAATATTTTTTAAATATTTAAAAGTATATAAAAAATAACCAGGGGTAAAATATGTTGTTTTAATTTTGTTACCTTGAGAAGGCCAAATTTTGAAGTGAAAAATATTTTAACAAACGCAAAGTAAACTTTTATAATCAATTTCGTTTTGGAACTTGCTATAATGATTCAAACTTGTAACTCACCGAGTAAAAAATTTCTGTGTTCTCTCAGAGAATAGATATTGTAAAAAGATAAGATATTGTAAAAAAACTCTCCCGGGGAACTGATTGTCGTGTCTCAAAAGAAAAGTTTTTACATTTTTCTCTCCTTTTTTTTTTTTTTTCCTGAGTGGCAAATTTGATGCCCTTAAAATTTTGCTTGCTCGTGTAGGTTTACGCCCGACGCTCGTTTTACCAACGAAACAACATTGTTCCGATAATAACGCTGACGCGTCCGAATCGGTTTTCAGGTCAGGGTGAGGAACCACGCCAAAATGGTCGACTGCTATTTGACTACGTACTACAACCACAAGACGTTCTTCGGCAACAAGAAGACCGTCAGCGACGACATCATCGACAACCCGCAAAACTATCACATCTACGAGGGACTGAGCACGCTCACTAACATATCCAGATACGACCTGCCCGATCCCGACGTGTACCGGGACTTTTTCCGCCTGAACCCGGTGTACGAGTTCAATCGGCTGTCGGAGACGTGCACGTACTTCCGGGGGTGTCCGATCAACAAGCTCGACATGGCCATCGCGTACGATCTGCCCGACCTGATCGGCCAATACAAAAGACAAGAAGAAGAGCTCGTGGTGAACGTGCCCTAATTAAAAGCGGCTGCGCGCAGCACGCGTGCACTAGGTGCCGAGCGATCGTCCCATCGCAATCCCAAAAACCGATTATTTATTATTCAGATATATAATATTATTATTATTATTATTATTATTATTATTATTATTGTTTTTTCTTCATTTTCGAGTAGACTGTTTTTATTATATTTATTTTATTTTCGTTTCGATTTATATTAAATTGTTAGATATCGTCGTGTATATGTACACGTGTCGTTTTCGTGTGCCGACCGCAAAGAAATGTGTCGCTATGCATAATATAATATTATGGTAGTTCTAAAAAGACGGCAAATACATATTAGAAAGAAGATAAAAAAAATAAAAAAAAAAAAATGTGATAACGATAAATCAAATCTGCGGCTCTATGATATGTGGGTACACAACGGTCGGTGGCGCGCACAAACGCAACGCGCCGCATTATACTTAATATATTTTTATGGAAATATGTTGCGGAATTTTTTTTTTTTTTTTAACGACCGTCCGTTATTACTTTTCATTAATTATTCGCGGGCACCGGGCGGTTAAGTTTAACATTTCGGGGTCAATGACGTATTTTAAAGGTGCTATTTTTAAGCCGGGGATGTGCGGATAGGCACAACAGAACGAGACGTGTAGTAGTGCACTTACACGCACGTTTCTCAAAAAAAAAAAAGTTACACATTGGCAACGTTACCATCACTCTGGGTATATAGTATATACATATAATACACAATTTTATTATATATGTATATATACTCGTCTATTATGAAAATGTTAAATGTCGATTAACGTATTTGCGAACCGTTAACAATATTTACTGAAAAAAAAAAAATGAATAATACTACATGCACTTGTAACGAATATAATCTTTTACGGTTTAAGAAAATATTGAATAATATTAGAAAATGTTTAACGCAATTTTTATTTATTTATTTTTTTTCACTATTTAGAAACTACCTCTAATAATATATAAAATATAGTATGGTATCGACATTTTTTTTTTTTCAAACCAAACTGCTGCTGCCTGTACCGTGTATAACATAATTTAATCAAATATTATACGCACATTATTATAAAATAATTATTATGTATTACAATTGAACCATTGCAATACTTACACCCAAAAGGCCCGTGTTATTATAATTATTTACACTTGTTGAAACGAAAATTGCCAAAAAAAAATGTACCAACCCTATGCTTGAGTGACTGCACTATTATAATAAAAATTAATACGAGTTACGACAGATTATTCGTTTCAAATTTTAATTGTTATTTATTTTTCATTACAATCACAATCGGTTTAGTCAAACACTGTCTATTAACAAATTAATAATATGGCTATTTATGTATAAAACCAATTATATGCAACGAAATTTGTTGATTATGTTACAATAATGTTATAGACAAGGCTAGGCATTAACGAGTTAATAAGATAAGTTAATAAGTTGAAAGTTGATTTCAACTTATTAAGTTAACACACTAGTTTACTATTTTGATTCACTCAACTTTAACTTAACTTATTTGCCTCTCTGTTAACTTGAAATCAACTAAAACTTTTTTTTATTTCCAATTAGTTAGTTTTGAATTTTCATATTATTCGGAAAAATATTTTTATCTCTGTTCCTTTTAAATTATTAGAAATTCGTAGATTTAAGAGTACCTAACTAAAATGTAGGAAATTATCAAATATTATTAGAAAAAAAATTAAAAAAAGATAATATATTTACGAAGCATTTCATTTTTATATTTAAAGATAAAAACTAATTTATAATAATAATAAAATAAGACATAAATAACCACGAGCCTACAAATTATATTCACTGCACCTACTTGAGTAAAACTTGGATACTGCCTATCTATTGTTAAAATTTTGATACAAATGTATAACTAGTAGGTAGTTTTTCTGTATCTACTTCTTTGTTTAAGTTAAATTAAATTTTTTTTCTTACCATAAAATAAGGTTTTTAATGAACCTGTTAAATTGTCAAGCATTTCTGTGTCTACCAATTTCAACCACAAAGTACCAATCGAATACAATTTATGTACAAACCTCACAAAATTAAAATATCTATTAATAGTTCAAAAATGGCCACAGTTTTTTTTAATTTAACCATGTCTAAAAATGACAATTATAAATTTTCTGTCCGAATTTCAAGTCTCTACGAATATGTTTAACTAAAATACAACACAACACAAAATTAAAATTAAAAAAAGCATTATTTTCATAAATTTTCTAATTTTTTTTAAAAGTTTTAACCCGAATTTTCCAGATATTATGAAAACCAATCGGAAAATTAAAAAATGACCTGTTTAAAGTACCATACAGACAATGTTTCCTTCCAGAAAAAGTGTCACACTTACATATCGAAGCTAAATTTCTGGTAGACATTTTTGTCAATACATAAAAAAAATAACAATAAACATTATTGTAAAACCAATACATTCTTCGCTACATTCAGAATCTAGAATTCCAAGATATACTATCTTACAACATTTAAGAAACATAATAAGATATACTGTATTACAATCGTACACAATGTTTTGTAACTAATTAATGTGAATTACTATAATATGAGAAAAAGAAAAAAGAATTTTATGTTCCTGGAAACTGGAATACAACCCGTAAAAGTTTTTACTCAGTATATTTACCTAAATTAATGTCTTTTTTTTAAAAATTATTATTATTATAATTGAATGCGTAATGGTATTGTGTGGTGTGTACCAAACGATTAATTAAACGCAAATGTATAATTTCCTTGTAGGTATTACCTAGTTAACAGTCTTGTAAATTATTTGAGTAAAAGTATTTAAGTAAATACTTTAATGTAATAATGTATTTTATAGTGTTCAGAAAATTTTTAAAACACTTTTGAATTGAGTATTTGAAAAGTATTTTAAATACTGTCTTAGACAAATTTGTATTTGAATTTCAAATACTTCCATGTAAATACTTTTATATTTAATAATTCAAAAATTGAAAATACCGTGTTCTTGTTTAATATTTAAAGTATTAAAATGATACATTATAATTTATAATCCATGATTTATATCTCGTGATGTAGTCCTCGTTATAAACTGAGGAAAATGAAGTCAGACAAACGGAAATTGACAGTGTAGTGACAAATGAGACAGAAATTAAACTATCATAGGAGGTTTACAACAAATAGTTTTATATTAAAACATTGAAAAAACTGTGCTACTTAAGTGCAATACAAAATTTTAGATTATAGCATGATAAATTTATAATTTGTATTTTACAACGTTTGTTTAATTCATTCGAAATATTAAATTATTTCACAAATAATATACAGCAAATTTTATTTATTTTTATTTTTCAGTATAAAATAAATTAGGTGGTAGTGGTGATGCAAAGGTTTAATAATAGTTACTTAAATAGTTGAATAATGAATTTTATGTTAGATATTTAAAAATTAATATTGCAAACTTAGATACTTGAATTAAATATTAAGTCAAATTTAAAAAGCATTTAAATACATTTAAATACATAAGTATTTATATTTGTTCTTAAAAGTATTTTTTACAAAAACGCTAGGTGGATACTTAAATAAAACAGTTTATTCCGTGCATTAATAATCACTTAAAAACTCAAGTTTTATAATGTGAACAACTTAGGTACCTAGCCACGTATCTTATCTTTATTTTGTGTTTTATTATATTATTTATATACGTATTTATTTTTTTTTAACTAGAGAGAAAGTGGATAAGATAAGAGTTGGTATTGTCCGTCCATATAGGTACCCAACTTAACCTAACCTTTTTTTTTCAAGTACAACCAACAGCAGTAAGAGGTCGTTTTAACACAATACTTCACTCACCGTTGCCATCGTTTATTAAATAACTTCTGAATTAACTTTTATCGAACAGTCTTATTTATTTCAACAAAATATATGAGATGCGCTTAATTTATTAGCAAATTTAAAACTTAATTTTTGTTGTATAAAATGTAAATTTTCATTATAACTCCATAATAATTATCCCTTTATTTGAATGTATCTCTTTTATATTCGCCAATGTGTTCCTAATCAACTACAACTAATAACAACCATCGGATAAAATATAAACATGGTCATCAGGGGTGAACCTAGCGGGGAGGTTAGGTGGTTATAACGCTCTCACCCCAATAATTGTTTTTTTAACTTTTCAATTGGCCACTTTATGTTTATGAAAAACTAATTAACTGTACATAATGACCAACTGATAATTTGTATAAGATTGCGATAGTGATGTTGACTAAAATTACATATTATTGGAAATATAAGTTGTAAACTGTAATCAGTGCGTCAGTAATAACAATAGGGTTATGCAGTGGTGAGGGGGAATATAAATCACAATTTTAATGGTAACCGATACTGTAAATAGCCAACCGAAAGTGGTTACTGGTTAACTTAATGTCTTCTCTAGTAACTAAAGAAGAACCATAGAACTGTTCTATGGTCACGTCATGATCACGGATTAAGAAATATTTTAATTTGTGGTCATGTTATATTGTTACCTGTAATATGTTGATTTGACATACATGTAAATACGATAATACTTGTCTAGTTAGTAGTCTGTGCTGTATAATGGCTAATATTATGAAAAAAAAAAAAAATTTTCTTTTTTGTTCATATACCAATTTTAGTAATACACAAAGGAGGTAGGTATTTTTCAATTAACTGAATATATCACTCATGTTTTTTCAATCAAAATTACCAGTTAAGTCGTTAATAACAACGAATAACGATTCCGTTTTTGCGACAACGTGTGACCTGTGTGACGTTTTGACCTGTGACATACAGATGTGTGTATTCTTTTTTTATTTTTCTGTCTGTAAACAACTTTTCGAAAAGAAATCTTGCACCGTATACAGTATTCCTTCTCTGAAAGGAAATCCGTGTACAGTAAACCTTTTCTGATAGAAAATTTTGTCTATTTGATACATTAGAAAGATCGTTTTTTCGATTTTCCAAGAGGTTTTCGAAAAAAAAAATTAGAAATAAAACGGTAAATATTTACGGTGCAACGCGGAGTTACCAATTTCATTGTTATTCATTTTTGCAACTTGTGTTTTCTTCTAGAAATCTTACTCCAATTGAAAAATTACAAGAAATCGATTTTATTCCATATTACGGAGCAACGATTTATTAATTTAAAATTATTAAGATTACATTTTTCTTACAAAAAACCTTTATCTCTATTAAAATAATATTTTTTTATTATCTATGCATTTACCATCCCACGATCAAATATATTATGATAACAAGTTAATATTGATAACAAATTAGAATATTATTAATGTTTATTGAATATCATAAAAAAAATACTGAAATAACCGTGGAATACTACAAGAATTGAATAGGAGATATCATTTTACTATCAATATTTTTATTATACTCTTGTCGTAATTCTATTACACGAGACTACACAAAAACTGGTAAATATATTACACTTAAGCATGTACATTTAGGATTTAAACCTTCCATCGTTATTTGACATATATTAAAAATTTAAATTTAACTTTAGTATTTTTCTTGTGTTCTACAATAAATTAATAAACCATAATATAATTAATTGCATCACACAAAATAAACATTAACAAAATTTTAATTTATTATCAATGTTAACTTGTTATCATATATCTGCTCGTGGGATGGTAAATATTAAATGTGCTGTGACATGTTTAAAAATTTCGCGGCCCATCAGTTTTTTATCACCGATATTTTTGTTATCTTTTTGTAAAAATACCGCGACGCAACTTTCTGGAAAATGTATTAATTATTTAATGATATTATTATTGTGTTGCTCATTTCACGTCATGGACGAACTTCTCAAAAATATATTAGAATGCATAGAATTTGTGTCAGACTACGCGACTGCCGACCTCGCAGAAATTACAGAAACTTGGGACCGATGTTCACAAACACACTCCGGTCTTGTGGAAAAAATCAACCTGACATGGAGGTAAATAATTTTTATTTTGCGAATTCTAAAGATAGATTCAAAGGCAATTAAACAATTAAAATATTTCAGTTAATTATTATTAAAAAATTAGATTTATAGTATTTGATAAAAATATTCAAAATTGAGTAGCCAAAGATGTTTATGCTACCAATAAGACTGATAGATAGATTATATTTGTGAAAGTATGAAACATTTTATAATTTTGAAAGTAATTGGGTACCTAGATTTTATGTTACTTTTTGTGATATTATTTTAATTTACCTCGTTATTGCAGAGTTTCCCTGGAGGCAGATTTTTTGGAAGAATTTCCTGATATTAGAACTAAATTAGCAAAGAAACTGGAAAGGTTTTCAAATGAACAACTATCAGTTTTACATTCACTTATGTAAGTAAGTATCTTACCTAAGATTAATTAATTTATATTTTGTAATGATAATTTTTTTGTATTTTGTTGAATGTATATTTTTTATTAGTAAACGTGTTTCTTGTAAAAATGAAAGTTTAAAAACTAAATTGGAAAAAATCAACAACAGACTCGAACAGATATCGTTTGAAGAACACAATGAACTCAAACATTCTGTCCGTGAACACGTAATATGGATAGAAAATTGTTGGATGAGTTTCCATTGCTTGTATCCTTTGTATACAATACCAACAATTACTTACATTTATAAATTTATAGATATTTTTAGATTCTTTAACTTGTTCACTTCAGGTACTTGCAGATAGAATTTGCAATGATGTCATTGCAGGTATTAGATGAAGAATCCGCTTGCAATCTTGTCGATGCAATTAAACAAAGCGAAGAACACAAATTAACCTTGAGAAAATCGCATAGTTATACGCAGAGCTGTTTGAGTTTGATTAAGTTTGTAGAAAACAAGAGTAAAATAAAAATAAATGTATAAACTATATGCCAAAAACAAAATATTTTATTAACAAGTTTAATTTTGTTTATGTATGTATACTGTATGTATACTAATTCATTGATTCTTGTTTTTCATTGATAAAAACAGCCTTACACAATAATTCAAAGACTAACAATATTAAAAATTATGAACACACAATGTGATGGATTGGGGCTAGATTTTGTGTATTTTAATTAAACTATTCTTCTTTAATCGCACTGTAATCATTTCTTTTGATCCAGCATAACATGTTAATCCATATAAATGAACACATTCCGACATAAATTACTCGAGCAGCTGGTGGCACCAGCATAAAGTTAACGGCTTGAGCCGGCAACCAAAATACACAACTTGTTTTGAACGTAGGGATGAACTTCTGTTTGCATTCTTCCAATAAATCTTTTTTACCCTCTAAGAAACTCATAGCTGTAAACACAATAATCATTTTTTAATAAGTACATATCAATATAATTTTTGCACGAGTACAATAAAGTCGAACTTGCCAACGAAAAATACTACGTAAAATGGCGGGGTCATGACAAATTGATCAATCAACAGTTTTTTTACAATTATTTTCGGCGCTGTACCTACAAATGTTTTGTCCAGCCATTTGTACCTATAAATAAATTAATACAACAGTATTAAGAAATAATTGTTAAACAATTATGTACCTACCAGAAATATAAAATGTTTGGACTTATTAAAGTGCCCACTATAGCGTATCGTTTTAATACATCTGTGTCTATGGGTTCTGGAGGTGTCGTTTTATTCTATATAATATGTCCAATAGTGAATATAATTGTTTTTTGTTAATTGGTGGATGATAATAGTAAGTAGCAGGTAGGTACTTTACCAGTATCCGTTTTGTCATAATTTGCTGTGAAAATTCTGCTCCGACACACATTGTTCCGTAAACCGTTGAGTTGGCGATCATTGGATATTTTCTGAAAGTTTCCTTCACCGCTCTTATTATTCTTGACATTTTTTACTGTATATTTATTTGTCTGAAATTAATATTATTATAATATGCCTATGTAGGTATTCGATTAGATCGACAGATGGTTAAGAATTTAAAAATAATATTCTACTTATCCAGTGTTTTACAGAAAATAAATTTATGTTATATTCACACTATGTGTGGTTTAAATAGTTCAAAAATTCAATATCATAACTTGCATAGTATACCTAGGTATTGAACAGAATAATGTAGGTACTAGTGGTCCAATGTGTGTCTAACATGCGTCTATGATAGTTTTATAGCGTTTTAAGCGTTGTGCTCTATAAGTTCCCCCACATTTTTTGCTTTTATTGGTTTCGTTCTATAGCTATAGCGTGTTCGAGTAGGTGCCGGTCGGATGGTGTTGATTTCGAGGCCATACTTCATAACGAATTAATTTATAATAATCCACTGCTAGGTACTGCTATAGATATTATTAAAATTTACTCGTCGTAGACAATAAACAACGTACACACGAATTCGTAATCGTACTGTATTTAGTATGAAAAAAAAAAAATAGATATCGAAAACGCCGTTCAATCGTTACATTTATGTTGTAGGTATTCACATGATACGTTATAGATCTGCGTCCGTTAACCAATTAATTATTCATAATGAATTGGAACAATCGGACACTCGGTTCATGTCATTTGACCAAAACAAAACTGTCGCTGGTATCGTTTTAAAACGTAAAGTCGCGACTGTAGTAACCAAAAAATATGCATTTTTTTTTACTTTCGTCCATACCTGCTCGAAATGGGTATTTTTATTGTTCGAACCTTTGAACGTGACGTGGCGTAACCTCTACCTCTACGCGCTAATCGACCGAAAAATAAGCTTAATACGTGTAACGGCCCACAGTCTATACGCCGGGAACGTGAAAATTCACCAGTTCCTGTGTACGGATCGAATTTACGAATTAACCCGTCGTGACATCGCGATCGCGCTTATATGGTTTCCAGAGCTAACCGTAGGTACCCATACAAACGAACGAACACGAGTAACAAGTGTGTTCGTAAATTTCAGCGGGAACATTTCCGACACAATCCCCGACATGTTGTTGGTCATGGCCGACAGCGAGACGACAGAACAGACGCGCCGTACGGATTCCATGTTACGCTGGGCGCAAGTGCCCGTACGGGGGAAACCCGACAAGTACGGCGGCGTGGGTACCGTGTAGAATGGCCGGATGCTATGCTATAGATTTCCGAGTTTCTACGCGCCAAAGAACATTAGATATTTATTAGGGTTTGGGCGAAACATTCCCGAATAAAATTAAAAAAACCCGCGCGGAATCCGAAAATAGCGGTACACGTTTATGAGATAAATTTTCGACCGATTAACTCGTGCCAGAATACACTCGAAAAATCGCCGAGACAGTTGTACCGTATACTGTGTACGTTCCGTATTGTTGTTCGGAAATTTCGTCGTACGGCATTTAAAGTGCGCGCACTCGTGACATTCGCACGGGCAGTGGTAGAGCGGATAAGTGGCGATATTTCGAACGTTTAACCGAATCTTATCGCTGCGCAATGTCTGAACGACGCATCGTGCGGACAGTACGGACATCGATAATTACATATTATTATTACGTCACAGACGTATTGTGTTGCAATCGCGCGTTTTCGAATTTATCAGTCTTCATGACGACGTTTTTATTATATTATGCCGGGCACTCGCCGAGCGGGTACCTACTCAACGGGGTCGAGCGCCGGGCTACGGCGATTTTCGCGATTGTGTTTTCGCAGTCCGTGGTAAGTACCTAACCGATTTATTTCGAAAACCGCGTTACATTTAAAACGATACTCGGCACCTAGCCCTCAGTGACACCGAATAAGTGGATATAAATTGTATAAACGATACAGATTGAATCGAGTAAATTAATGTCGCACACTGACGACGATGGCCGAGGGGAAAATCGCATGTATATTGTTTTATAACGACCCGGCAGGATATGGAAATTAGGTGCGTACCCATTTCGATGACGATAACCTTTACGGAGTGAACCGACCCGTTCACGCACATAATTTTATTGTAATTGCTACCGTTTAATGGTGTCGGTTGTGTATAATATTATTATTGTTCAAGGATCAGGTTATTCAAAACGTATTTTTTTAAAATTTTTTTTTTTTTGAAACAAAACCCGTCTTGTATGTTAAATTGTTCAACTGCAGCGACGGTCGTTTTGGTTTCATACTTAGATTCCCGAGTACCTATTTAGAAAACGTCGACATCACCTACGTACCTAGTCCCTTTAAACGATTCCATTCTGGCGATTCAAAGTCACAAAAGTGAATTATATCATCACGGCGACACATTTGTTTTTTTAACAATATCCAAAATCAAAGCCATCAAATTTTAATATCCGTGTATGCTTTCCTTTTCTTTATAAGTCTTCGAGGCCCTAGACAATTGCGTGAGTCGCAATTTGCTTTGTGACGGCACTGCTTAGTACTAAGAACATTAATATTTAATATTTTAGATAATTTACTCACCCGACATTTGGATAAATATGTTTGATAACAAGAAGTTATTATATATAATTTATTGTTGTATATATTGTGTATTAAACATTTATTTATTAAAATGTTTAATAAATGCCCATTAAGCAAAAATTTACTTAATATAAACAATTTTGTTTAAATATGTTACTTAGGAACATATATAAACAATTTTGTTTAAATATGTTACTTAGGAACATAGGTTGGTAGGTAGTATGACCCTGTTATACTTACTTTTTAAATTTTAAATTGAAAATATGAACAATTTAAACATTTAATTTATTTAATTTGTATTATAAAATAATTATGACTGTCTTAAATTTTTTTTTAAAAAATTACCCTACAAATAATATACATTACTACCCGACCATGCTGTCTGATATCTCCTTTTAAGTAGTTAGGTATCAAAATTATGTTTGTTTTTAATAAAGAATCTCTAATATAGCTTTGGGAAATTATGAAAATAATTTAGTTCATGAAACCAGAAATAGAAATTATTAGGCCATTTACACACGAAGCTACTCACTTAAACTAAACTGATTCGTGATTATTTTATTACTGATGAATACCTATTTAGCAACATAAATATACCGATCTTTATTTAATAAATTGTACTTGATTATAATTGCTTAAATTATATATAGTGTTGAATTAATGCATTTTGTAACACTGGTAAAAATATTAATGTAAAATAAATATTAACATAGGTAGTACTTAGATAACTAACTATTATTTGTAAATATTTGAATTCAATTTTCTAAAATAAAAACAAATTGCATGAAATTATTAAATATTTATAATGCCCAATACTATCATTATTTTTTATATTGCAAAGGTATACATATATTTTTTTTTATATAATATTGGTTATACCTTTTTGTAATGGCAAATTTAATTTTTTTCTAATAATTTTATAAAAATCAGTATACTAACAGTATTCAAAATTGAACTTTATTAATTCAAGTTGATTGAAATAAACTAAATTAATTTAATTTTAGTACATCTTTAAATAAAAATGTTGGAAAATCAAGTGTTAATCAAAGATAATATATTTTATACCTATAAAATATATATTTTCAAAAGACTAATCATATTATTGATATTTTATAATAAGTTACTAAATCTAAAAAAAAAATAATATTACTAAAATACTTGGTGCACAATACTATGATTATGATCAGTGATATTTTTTGTAATCTGTATTTTATGTTTAAGTTTTAAATGGTTTTTTAATTGCAATTTTGAACCAAATTTCATCTCACAAAATTCGCAGTCGTAGAAATCAGTTTTCCTGTGTATCTTTCTTTCATGCCACCTTAAATTGCATAATTGGTTAAAAGTACCTCCACAAAAACTACATTGATAGTCTCCGCCATGTGTATTCAAGTGCGATTTTAATGAAGCACATGTAGTAGCCTGTTAAAACAAAAATATTAAAGGATTTTTATAATATCATTAGAAACACAATGTACCTGAGCCGGACATAGATGACATTTAAATGGTTTTTCAACGCTATGAGTAATAAGATGATTTTTCAATGAACTAGATAGAGAAAACTTTTTATTGCAAATATGGCAAACGTGATTGCTTTGACCACTGTGAGTGCGTTGATGAGCTACCAGGGTACTGAGATGTGCATATGACTTGTTGCATTCAACGCACACATACGGTTTTTCACCTTTGTGAGAGGCCACGTGATATTTGAGACTGTTGTACCACTGAAACCCTTTATTGCAGATTTGGCATTGGTACCATTTGTTGTTGTCATGTTTTCGCATGTGCTTGCTAAGGTATCTTTTATTCTTGAAATGTAGGTCACAATAACTGCATTTAAACGGTCTTTCTTCTTTATGCACATCACCATGCATTTTAAGTTTATAATGGCAAGTAAATTTTTTGTTACATATTTGACATTCAAAAGGTTTCTCGCCAGTATGTGTTCGTATGTGTTCTTTAAATCTAGAAAATTGAGTAAATGTTTTACTACACAATGTGCATTCATAATATTTTTCTCCGGATTCTGTATACAACGCCAATATGGTACCTGGTTTTGGACTATCGTAATGCACTTTTAAATGTGTTCTTATACCTAAAAACAATATTATTGTCATATAACTACATAAAACTTACATTTAGCAAAAACAGTGGTCATTAATAATACACTACCTCTTTTGGTATTATATATTTTTTCACATAAATCACATTCAAATTCCATTTGGTCACAGTTGTCTCTCTGGTGTCTAGCTAAATGATCACCTCTAGTAAACTTATGTCCACACAATTCACATTTATATGGTTTGTATCCAGAATGACTCATAATATGATATTGTAAATTCCTGGGTTGTTTGAATAGCTTGTCACAAATATTACATTGATATTGAATAATATTGTGTACATGTTCAAAATGGTCTTTTAGTTCTTTTGCAGTCTGAAATTTGGAATTGCAAATATAGCAATTATTTACTAATTTACTATGCATATATTTCTCATGGCGTTTTAGATGTAGTGTAGCTAGCGAGGGAAACAGATAATGTTTATCACATAGTGTACACTTGAATACTCGTTTCAGTTTCTTTTGTTTGTTCACATTCAAAGGTAATGGCACACAATTATGCAATTGGTTTTCATTTTCAAATGTAAGTTCACAACGAAGGCACTTATATATGTTACGAAAAACCATAGAATTATTGTCTAGGAACTCCTGTTGGACATCATTATCATCTGCTATTATGAGCTCTATATTTTCCTTGGCTAATATCCTTTCTTCAAAAGATGTGAGCAATTCAATTTCATCACCAAGTACTTCCATAATTCTAAAATTGAAAAAAAAATATATATATATATATATATTATTCTTACATCATTGTATTATACTAACAATGAAATAATTTAATTATTCAATAAATCTTAATAGAACACAAATATTTTTTTTTTAAGATTCTGGGTATAACAAAGAAGTTATTTGATTTACTAAGAATTATTTCTTTTCCTAGAAACAATTTTTCCATTAAACTCCATAAATTTTTTCACTATTTTTCCAAAACATTCCACTTTTCTCATTAGGTTACCGTACATATTTAACATGTGGCGACTTAAAGTTTTACTAAAAAACATAAAATGTCATAGTTTGTAGCTTAACTACTTAAAATTTTATAGAATCATTATTGTAGTTCAAATTAATTAATAAATCATTATATATTTAAACAATGATAATAGTTGGGTTACTTTATATTTGAACTATACGCAACTTAAAATCGACAGAGTACCTAGTATCATTTTACTTTGTAAACGTACGTCTATCAAGAATATTGAGTGTTCTCTTTATTTTTTAGAAAAGTACATTTATTTACATATTTAATATATACCATATTATCTAAATATATTTTTAAAAATACTTAATTGTGAACAAATTTTTCTTCTTAGTAATATGAAACATCAAATAACTGGTTCAAAATTAACGTCAATTGGTGACTGTTTACAAGTTTAATTTTTTAATATGAAGATCTCTAAAATTAAATTTTAATTGAAAGCGCCCTTCTTGTTGTTGATGAGTGTATAGTATTTAGGAAAAAGGTAATAATTCCTATTAGAGATACTCACATATAAAAGATAAATTAAAAAGAATTTACAATAATTTTATTTCACGGTTAAGGGTTAATTCTACGAACAAATATAAAAATACATTTTTTAGGAAATAATTTAAACTACAATAATGATTCTATACAATTTTTTGTAAAATAAAATTTTAAGTAATCAGGCATCAAACCGTGACATTTACTTTTTTCGTAAAACTTAGAGATTAAGTTGCCACGTATTTATTATGTTCGATCAAGCTCAAACTTTACAGACACTAATAATAGATGTATTGGAACAAATTTCTTGCCGAGGCTCTTCAAAATTTGTCAAAAATTGTCTTTCTATATAATTAACTGGTATTCTAATATATATATATATTTAAAAAATAGCATTACAAATTGTTTTCATTTCGGCAATCAATATTGGTAAATCTAACAATAAGAAAAACATAAATTATAAAATTAAGAGGATGCTAAACTTACATCTACTATCTTAGTCTAATTAATACAGCATGACAAAATTATGTCATTTAGAACATTGATGTTCTAATAGGTATTATGTTGTTTAGGTTGAAATGAGGGTTGAACTGTTATTATTATGCTAAATTAAATTAATTATATTAATATACAATTTAAATGTATAAATAGTTTGTAAAGCATTCTAGATGGATTTTTTAAAAGGAATACCCCAAAGACTTTCAACTTCAACATTAAATAATTTTTTTTTATAAATTTCATATTTTGATTAAATATTTATTTACATATTATATTATTATAATAATTTTTCTGACCAAATTTTCTTGACTTGCAAATTAATTAAAAACCAAACAATTTAATATTTTATTTAATTAATTTATATAATTTTATTAATAATAATAATTGTGTACTTTAAACCAGAGAAAAGTTTATACAAAATTATAAACTAATGTAAAATAATTGTTTTTTAGCGATGAATGATCAACGGCCAATTTGCAGCTACAATCAATTCACAGGATACCCTGTGAGATAATGCTAGTAAGTTGTACTTATAATATTATTGTATTTGATTCCTAAAGTGTAAAAATAATTTTAGTGAATAACCTAAAGCAATACAATTTGAGATGGATAATTTTTAATTTATCAATTTAACTGGTTTTTATTAAAAGTCATTTTTCTTACTATTTTTTTTTTTTTATTTTTTAGTTTTAGCTTGGTACCTTAATAAATGCTGATTTTCAGTGTGATAATATTTTATTTAGAATTTCTTTTTAAATTTCTGGTACTTTTCCTAATTTGTAAAACCAAATAAATTTTGGTTTGAGTTTTTAACAAAAACAATAGTTGTCATAACAACCAGTTAACCAAATTGTGTTGTATAGTGTTGATTTATTTATGATTAATTTAAGCACACCAGGTGATCAATTTAAGTGGATACACTCATTATTTCAGAGTATTAACTTTTTTTCGGAATTTATTTTTTAGAACACTTAAGAACAAGCTGCTTTACAATTTTATATTTATGTTATATTTTGTCACCTTAGATATTTCACTTTTAACTTTGGGTTGAAGGAGAATAGTGGTGCATTATTAACATGCTGCTCAATTGATACTCCACTACTATTCTCCAATGCAAATTTAAAAGTGGAATATCTCATCAATAGCTTGCCAAAAATCAAAAATGTCAACATTAAAATTTATTTTAACTAATACTCCATCTATTTATGGAGTTTTTAATATAGGGTATCATTTGAAAATCAAAAGTAGGTAGTGGTTTTACCCACAAAAATAACACAAATATACAATTGTAAAACAGCTTGTTTCTTAAATGTTTTAGAAAACAAATTTCTGATAAAGTTTATACTCTCCAAGATAATGAGTGTATCCACTTAAATAGATCCCTAGTATTATATTTAATAAATATGTATAAACTAAATAGTTAACTTTGAAATTAACTAAACCCTATATCCTAAAATACTTACAACTATAGTAGCCTACCTATAATGCAAAGTATAGCGGCTTTTTATAATGTCCAAGTTTGGATTCTTTAAAACTCTGTGGTACTTTTTATTTAGATCTTGTTTATCCTTGGCTGACCTCAATTTTTACAGGTACACCTAAAAATATAAAATTTAACACAGTTTAAATATTATAATTTATTTTCCACATTTTAAATATACTAAGTATTGATTATTACTGTAAAAATAACTTGTTAATTGCATTTTTTTATTCTGGTAACATTATAACAATAAACTTCCATCGTCTTATCGAACGCGTCTTATCACTCGAACGCACTAAAAATAATTTTCAACTTATTCGAATAATTCATTATTTGCACAATCATTCGTCATATTATGATTACATTAATTTTAGAATCATAACAATTTATAAATTATTGCAATCTACCATAGACGGGGTAAAAAGGTATAGTAGTCGACTTCTTTAGATATATGGTATACCTATGATAATGATCAATATTTAATATGTTTAATGTATTCAACGATGACGTCCAAAAAGTGTGGTTAAAAATTATATTATGATCATCGCTTACATCGTTTTTTTTTTAAAAAAATTGTCCAATCTTCATCAGCAGTCTGATAAAAACGTATACGCATCGGCTGGCCATTATAATCGAAGGGTATCGATGAAGTATAAAGAAACGTTTATCGGCAGAGACGACACCCACCGCATTACTACCGAACGGGAAATAATAAAACAATTAGCATTTAGAAGTTCGAAATGACTTTTCTAGACAAACGAAAAAAAAATTGAAAAATATACACGTTTGTAATCACATTTTCCGTTCGTTCGACGGGTTATCCGTTTGTTATTAAACAGCCGACGAATTTAAGTGATAACAAGCAGTGAACACAACAACAACGAACGAACCCGAGAATCGATAAACCGTAACCGGGGTGATGGTTGGCTGAAAAGAAATTGGAGAACACGGTTTAACGAGACTTCGATCGTACCTCACGACCGAAGATTTTGTTATTGCGCGGTTCGTCACGATGGTAATATTCGCAGTTCAAACCAATAAACGCATTTGGCGGTTCATTATTTGCCGTTCCGTCGAATATTTCGAACCATCGGAACCGCGAGCACTGTACGCCGATAGGTGTAAACAAAAAAAAGTTAATTACAGGTGAATGATACGCATACACTAGGACAGGTAACGCAGGTACCTCTTTACGAACGAGGTGAAATGCCATTACCACACCGCCGCCGCCGCCGCCGCCGCAGCAGCAGCAGCAGCAGCACCAGTCCAGTTCCTATTGAAATTATTTGTTTTTTTTCATAAATTTTATTATACCTTTTTTTTTTCTTTTTTAAATTTTTTTTTTTTGCAATTTTTGTCATCGAATAACGAACGCGCCAGTAATAATCGGTTCACTACCGCCGTGACGACAGTCTCGATCGTATTTCCATGTGCACACCAATTGTATTATTATTGTTATTATTTTATATCTCATCCGTCGAGAGTAAGTCGAGAAGAGTTCTGGTTTCTGCACACTGTTATCTGCAACATTTTGTTATGTTCCAGACGCCACTGCGGTCGCCTGCGACCGAACCACCTCAACAACTGTCGGATCGCCCGAAATCCGATGTACGTGTACCTATTGTTTGTTAGTTTTTTCTTTTTATTAAGTGACATTTAAACTGTGCGTGCCGTGCATAATGCCGTATAACGTCAGACAACATATGGAAATCTATGCCATAACGATGAGGCTGTGAACGCGCATACGCTTCAATAATACAACGTACACTCAGCAAACGGTCAAAGGTTGGTGACATTTTCGAATAACATCTACTTGAAAATTGAACTTGCTCGAGATTAACCCAGTTATTATGATTTACGCGTAGTGTCGTGTCTAATCTAATTATTCGCAAACTGTCAGTAGTAGCCACTAATTTTTTAATCCAATATTCCAATCAGTTTTGAGAATGAACACCTACATGCTATTACTATGACTGCGATGATGCTATAATCTCTCCGAAGAAAACTTGCGTTTTTACTGTTTTGAGTAATAATTATCAATTGGTATGTGTCTTTTAAATTTGATTTACTTTAAACGTTTATCTATCCGAGTGCCTACATGTTCAGTTAAATTTTTTATTACTTTTTTTTCTTCAATTAAACCATTTAATTCAAATACTTATGCGATAAACAATAATTATTCAATCATAGATATAACAATAATCAATTACCTACTCAATTATATTTTTTATTGATCAATTAGGCTCAAACTGATAAGAAAATGTTGACTCATTCAGTTTTATTAAATTTTTATTTTTTATTTGCAAACAAAACTTTGCTATTCAGTTTACACAAGTATAATGTTATAATTATAATTGTACCTATAGCTAATCAAATTGTTTAATTTTAAAAGTAGCAAGTTATATTTCAAGTGCTTTTGTTTTTACCACATAACTATAATTTATTTATGTAGCCAAATGTGTGCAATTTGATGAAGAATTTTAATTCATCGATATTGGTATGAATATTTAATATTTAATAATTAGGTTCTAAATTTATTTTGTTCCATAGTGAATAATAATAATAATTCCAGTAGAAAATGGATTTCCCATAGCATTGATGTGTCTAATGAATACTACCTGCTCTCTATTTTAGTTGTTTTAATTGCAAGTTAGAAACTAATAATAATGTTGTAATTAACATATTTTGTTTTAATCTGAATATAATATTTGTTCGAATAGGTATTTGTCTAATTCAAAAGTATTTTCACTAGAGAAAATTACATTATATTTCCATTCTTCTAATTAGATAATAACTAGTTATAGTATTTCTATTCATTGATCGGTCTTGTCTTAAATCAATACAAATATTTATTCAGTTATTAAATATTTGATAAAATACATTTCACAATGCAATTTATAATTACTATAATTATGGGTACCAAATGATGTACCTGCTCAGTTTAATAAAATTATTTATTTAGTCAAAGTTAACGTATGGCATTTGTATTCAAGGTTTTCAGCTAGCTAATAAAAAAAAAAAAAAAACCTTATTTTATTGGAAAATTCATAAATTATTCGATATTTAGATAATGAATATAATTTTTTTTTAGTTATTATTTTAATAGAACAAAATTACATCATTAAAATAAAATAGGTAGAGATTTTTATGTAATTTCTTATTGAATGGAAATTAAATTTTAAAAATTTTACTCTACGACTAGAGTCTAAGGTGACGTAATTAATGGCTGGTCGCAGCAGGTAATTTTTGACTAAAACGTGTTTCGAGTAATCAAAAAGAACTAGTTGCTTAAGTTAATTTTATTTATATATACATTTAATGAAAATACGAATAAAGAAAGTAATACAAATTTACAGAAGTGGAAAACGCGCCAATAGTGTCAGGTATGAAACGAGTGAGGTAATCGAAATTGGATTCGAATTAAATTTAACCGAATCGACATGTCCGAATTCATTTATCGTAAGATAATCGAATAACCTTTGTGGGGGAGGGAGGGATTATTTCTAGGAACACAAAGGTCGCAATGTTTTTCGTGTCATAATGACGGTACGATTTGTCGTATCGATAGCGCACAATAAATACCGCGGTGATATAGGTAGTAAACGCGGTGCACGAGAATCGCGCGACATTTGATTTTCCGAAATTGCCGCCCGTTCGTCATTCGTCAATCTCGCCGGCCGTCCGACAATATAATAACACGAGCACGGGCCGTAGAACGGAATTCTCATGCCCGAACGTTGTCGACATTCTTCTCAAAGGTCAAGTCCGTTTTTCATTTCCAAGTAAGAGTCAGGTGTACACGTGTTCGGCCGAACAGAAACGATAGATTTTTGGCGGATACCTAAAATGCGAACGTGCAAAGACGTAAATCCGGGCACGGTTCTGTTCGTATCACTAAGATGCGCGGTTTTTCTCGGAAAGGCCTCCGGACACGCGATTGTTCACGGCCGTACGGAGATACGGATTTTTTTTTTCATTTTTGCAACAATTGATAATTTAAAAAAAAAAAAAAACGTCTAGATTCCCAATAGTTTTTCGGTAACATTAAAAATAAAAAACAAAAAAAAAATGTCGATAAATCGGATAAATGTTTTCGTCGATTTCTCTATTGCCCGCGGCCGAAACACCGATACAATTCCGGTAAGAATCGCGTTCATTTCGCCGTGGCCTCTCCTACGCGTTTCAAACGAGGTTTCGAACTTTCCGCTTACCCACCGTAAACGGTCGTTCGCCCGTGCGGCTTTTTTTCATACTCTGTCCGTGCGTTCCCGCGGGGTTTTTTTCGAAGACGCGGGCGAAAATCGGAGTATCGCTTCTTTTTTTCAATAGCAGTGCACCGGTAGTACGCCAGATCCCGGAATACCGCGGTTCTCGTCACGATTACCAGTGATTTCCTGTTTACGATTACTGAACACGCATTTCGTACACACCAATTTTTTTCCGTCGCTCTCTGGCGAAAATCGACGTTGTTTTTTTTTTTGTTAAAATACGTTAAACACGCGACAAATCGGGTCGGTCGGGTTCTCCTCGATGTCGTCGCGTATGAAATAGTGCCCCCCTCCTTAGGATAAAAGGCGCGGCGTTGTAATAACATAATATTAGTACATCGTTTAAAAATAACTGCGGTGAATCATGTATCGGTATACTGTGTAAACAATAATAATAACGATTCGGAAGACGCCTAAACGACATATTAAACACATTTCGTTAAGAGTGAACAAAAAATATGCAGATAGGAACACTCGTGGCAATAAAAATAGGCACCTACACACTTGAAAAAAAAAAAACGAAGTTTTTCGTTAAAATTTACATACGTTACAGTTTTGTTTGTATAATAAAACGACGAGTAAGGTACTCGTGTACTACTGACAGTTTTATAGAAAAAAAAAAAAGAAGAAATATGTGGTGTATTATCACGAGTGTGATGGTATTCGTTTTTTTTTTTTTTTTTTTACGCCGCTCAAATCGAGAACGATTGCCGTTTAATAGCGACGTGAACACGTTCGTTTTTCGCGATCCGTATGGTTTTTGAGGTTGTGACGTCGACCTCGTTATTAAATTATGTCCCGTTGTAAATCTCGATGTTTGAGGTTTCTATTCGCGTGTTATTATCGCATAATCGTGAATTAAAAAACAAAAATAAAGTAGAACGATCTGCGAATTATTCATATTGCGGGGATCACGATATTATTTTCTACCGCACTGGTGTATTATTACGATATTGTATAAATAAACAATATACGTGATGATTATAATAATGTAACGTTTCCGTAGGTATATTTAAAAAAAAAACATAGTTAATTTCAGGGGGGGGGACGTAACCACCTTGATCTCTGTCCGCCGCGCCGTAATGCTGCGAAAATGTATTTTTAACAATATCTCAATTAGATAGTTTCTAACGTTTAGCGTGCGTTTGGGGACAATAAACGAAACCAAACTTATTATTATTACTTGACTTGATGATGATAACACATTATAAACAACGGAATACAAATGAGGACGGAAAAAAAAACGCGAGTCAATCTCGACGACCTTCGACGGCGTTTAATCTGAAAATGAGGAAACTACGACACGTTTGACATGCGTATTATTTAGTTTTTTTTTTCTTCTTTTAATTTTACCATGACCAGTTCCTGTATATTCAGTCGCGATACATATAGTCCGCAATTAAACACGTTTCTATGTGTATGTGCATATATTTTTTGTTATCAAATCGCGACCGAGGAAGAAGAGGCATAAATAACTAATGTTTACGTCTTCATTCCGGAGAGGGGAAAAAACAGTAAACATGTGACGTATTACATTTTAGCAACTCATCGGCAATTGGATTTTAGATTCCGAGCGTACGGCGAAAATGTCACTTAGAAGAGGAGTTGGATATGCGATGATAGAGTGCAGAGTGCTTTAATTTTTAACAATGCGATAAACCTTCGCTAACGTAAAACGGTTCTGAGCAGCGTATTGTTAGTCGTATTTTTTCCTCTGAAATTTTATCTAGAAACCAACAAAAATCATACACGCGATCGCCATTCCCGTCTTTCCATTATCTTTCCCGTTCGCTAAGAAAATTACGAGGAAAATTTAAAAAAAAGCTTTTTTCAGTACACCAATTAGATCGAAAAAATGCTACAATCTCTGTACAATTTTTGATAGGGACAAGGTTGAACTGTTGATTACAGACAAACGATTTTGAAATTAAAACACATCGTAGTAAAACCAATACATATTGTCCGGTTCAGTTTTGTTGATTTTTGGATTACTTCATGATTGCAAGAGAGAAAAAAAATATATACCGCTCAGAATCGATTTATCCTCGCGTTCAGTGTAACATAAACTAAATTATCTCATTTTACCTAAACCGCCTTCAACACCGCGGGTGTGGTGTGACGTTTGACAATCGAATTTATATATTTTTTTTTATTTTTTGTAATAGGTACCACACGTTCGAGCGTGTCGATGTATAATAGCGTGTTTTTTTTTTCGTCAAATTTTAATAATTATCATAGACGAAATTGCGCGTATTGTTTGTGTTTTTTGGTTTGAAATTTAACCGTAAAATACGTGTACGTATCTGTCTCCAAGTTATGGTAATTTTTAGTATAAATATATCGAATAGTGTATAGATAATCACTACGAGTTAAACAACATCACAACATACACTTATATTATGGTAATATATAATAATAATAAAAAAAAAAAAAAAAAAAAAACATATTTCTATAACGTCATTTTATATGTATATGTATTATTTCCACTAGAAAATAACATAATATAAATATGTTTCGGTGCAGTTATTAGTGAAATTATTTATTATTATTGGTTTTTTTTTTTTTTTTTAATCTCCGTTTCGGCCGTATGGTTTTTTTCGCCCATTGCTAAAAAAAAAAAAAAAGAACACTCATAAACATCTGGTCGATGTCGAACCGTATTATAGCGCTGTGGCGGGTTTGCGGATGCCATTCGGATAATCATAATTAATGTTATTACTGTTAAAATGTAATTATTACAGACGTGTGTTACTGCTAAATGTATGGGTATAATATTGTCCTGCGAGCTCATTGATGTTGCACGTTTCTTTTGTGTTGAAAATTCAATTTCGACGCCAAATAATATTCGACTATAATAGACGTGAGATGGGAATATGTTAGATTATTTTTATTTTCTTATCTGTTCGCGACGACGATGTAATGTATAGAATTTATAGAAAAATTACTAACGTAGTATTTATTGCCCTCGAAGATCTCCTTGTCTTTCAATAATGGTGCGCGATCTGTCTTTGAATTCTGAATTTCTGCTTAAACGATGTTTTGCGTTGTGACGATTAATTTGTCTATGCTGCCCGTTAGTAAGACAACGTTTGGCGACTGTTGAATAATTGAGCTTTCATTGATCGGGGAAATTACCACATCATTAGCTCCCAATACGATTGTTGACAAGTGATAGTTTTCAAAATATATTTCAAATGAAAGCTGAAAAACTACTTAACATTAATCTATTATCGGATGCAGTGTTGGAATATTGTCGGAAGCTATCTAATTATAATCCTAATAATATGAAAGTTGTTTTTGGTTTTTTTTTTTTTTTAGTTTATCTGGTTTAAAATACAATACAATCGAATTCAGAATTATATTTCATATTTGTGCGTGTGATACGCCTTGAATAAATTCCCAAAGGGAGGGTATAAATATTTCGGCTACTTACCCACCCAAAATTTGTGTGAATATTTTTTATACTTATTGCTATAAGTATGAAAAAACCGATAAGGTTTTTAATTTTTTTATATTGTAATATTTCGATAGAAAAACAAAAACTTTTATCTATTTAATTTATGACTACACGTATAAAACATGTTAATTGTTTGTTTTAATATACGTCGTGATTTTTACGATTTTTATGGATATTTGAACCTCAAATGCTTATATATAAAAAAAAAATTAAATACGCTCGATATTTTTACTGCTAAGTAATACTTATGATGAACCTCGTGTACAATTTTCAAGCATTTTTGTTCATTCAAACCAATTTTAATCAATATAAATTCAAATAAAATCTAAAAATCTCGAAAAATTCAAGTGCCAATTAATAGCTCAAAATTTGTCAGAATATGTTTTAAAAACTAAATCGAAAATAACGGAAACCGTAATATTATTGCGTAAATTTACCCGGGTTTTCCCAATTATTTAAAAAATTATCTCAATGTAACCAAAATGTGCCTTAAAAAAGATACTATCACTTGACGATAGATAGATAGGAGCAAGAAATTTATATGAAAACTTATTGTTTTTTTTTTCTATGCTTATGGCCATAAATTGAATAGACGCTTGACAAATAAACCAACAGTTTTCACTCTTTAATTAAATATTAAAAAGTCTCATATTCTTAATTTTTGACACGGAAAAAATAAAACATAACAATATCACAGTCTTTACTTTTCTATCTAAATATTACAACTTAACAAATTAATGAAAACTCGTTGTTTTTATACATATAACCATAAATTGAATAGATACACGGCACCCGAAGACGACAATCAGTTTTCGCCTTTATAATATATACAATATATCCAATATAACAGTGTGAAATTTAAAATGTACGACCAACAAGTAAAAGCTAATACAATTTGATATATTGCTCTGATATAAGTCAGAATAGACGGTTTGTTTTGATACAGAAAAAGAAAATATTTACCTGGGTTTTCGGCGGGTGAATACTTAAATATTTACTTGTCCTTTGGGTATTTACCCAACCACATATAATGATATTTTAACCGCAACACGGTGATGTCAATATTATTATTGTTAAAAGTCTCCGCGTATGCACGCACGCATAATAATTATAATGATAACGCATAATAACTATAGTTTTCATTAAAAATTATTCGCGAATGCAAATCGTGTTTACTCGTGGTAAAAATACTAAATGCCCACGCAATAAAACCGATGTATAGCATGTTAATTATATTATAATAATAATATTACATACGTGTACGTCGATGTGAATATGATAAAACCGCACGATTTATATTCGCTGGACCGTAAATAGGTACCTTGGTGGTGAGGTAACCGCCACCATCAATTATTGCTTCATTTTTGGTTGTGTTTTTTAAGAACGGTGTTTCTAACCCGGGCACTATTGCGGTATATATTATGTACAGTGAAAGAGAATAACTGATAAAATTGTGCTACTGGGACGAGATTTTCGAAGCCGGCAAAGTGTGATGTACATCGCGGTAATAATCTTCATGTAACGTTTTTTAACGAGTTGGCGATCGCTGTTCAATATTTGTATTTCTGTTTGAAACCGTATAAGTATATACTGTGCGTTGGTTTATTTTCGACTATAGGTGAGGCTCCAGATGATAACTCCATGTGCATTTCCGTCGGATATTATTTACGTTTCCACGTGCAGATAAGTGCTCTTAACAAACAAAAAAATATATAAAACATGCCACACACCCTCTTCCCCCTTCGTAATTGAAAACAGACGTGCTTGCGGCAGATGGCCAAAACATTTGCTCTCTTTTCAGCGAGCATATCCGGAAAAACGGATTTTATTCTCTCGTATTATATACGCCCAACAACATTTTGACGTTTCAAAAACGCTTTAAAAAATAATAAAATCAACATGTACGGATCTAGGAAAATGTCAATACAATAATACCCGCAATAATATAATAAAATTGTCCTTGTTAACGCTATGCAAAAATCGTTATGAATAGGCTGCTATAATAGTTGCCACTGTTGTTGCTGCTGCTGATGTCGTTGATGTGTATAATATAAGGTCGTTCGTATATAATATTATATGGGTACGCTTTAATAATATTATTCATATTTTCATCATCACGCAAAATAATAACAATAAAAGTACCTATAGTTTATGTTATTGTTGTTGTTTTTTTTTTTTACTTTTCTTTGTCTGTTTATAATTAAAAAAAAAAAAACGTTCGGAAATATTCGATTCCCTTATATTCGTGAAATTTCAACTTGTGTTTTGTTACAGTCTCTAACAGAAATTAATTGAATGCGAATATTGCAGTGAGGTGCCTGTGTGCTCCCTATACGCGTGCCCGTAAAAACTCGTATCTATACTTTGTGTTGTTACAATGACTTTTATCTAAATAAAAAAATATAATAACATGATAAAATACAATCAATTATCGGGTGTAAGTACCTACACTCGGTTCAACGATTAGAGATGTCGATTACAATGATTTATTATCTATAGGAAAAATATACTTGTATAACAATTATCGACATATCAATAGACGTCCGTAAGCAATTATTGCAATAGCTACCTACGGTATATGTTTTGTATATATTTTATTATTTCAATAATATATAGTACTCCAGGATGAAAAAATTCAGGCTGGGAAATTTGTTTTGTCAGGCCACATTTGTTCAATGCCTACTAGGCCGTAGCCGTACACAATTTTCGGAGAAGGGTAACATTTGTTTGTTTTTTAATCTATTTATATGACGTTTTTGCCACAAGAAATTTGGGTGGATCCCTGGATTGTAAAAAAAATACTATTCAAGATTAAATATCAGTCCACGATGATTGCATTTTCTATTACAATTCAATAGCACCTTCAAAACACGAATCGTGATTATTTCAAGCTGAATGAGAATTAATTTTTTTATATATATTATTTTTCTACCTCATCTTTTTTTAGGTATAGTCAGTTTTATTAGAATTTTTTCTGAAAACAGATACTATTACACTGTATTGCACTTGTTGTGTGTATACATAATAATGTAAATATCTTTTTTTCTGCTACTTTTAGCCTTTTTAGCAGTTTCCTGGACCAAATGAGTTCAAACTCGAGAATTAGAGTTGTTTTATATAAGTGGATTGAAATGATAAAAGTTGAGTTGAATTTCAATATTAATTTAACAATGTTGTTGCGAGAGTCTGGTGTTTTTTTTTAGCTCCATAGACCCCTACGTAATCTCCAAATTAAAGTAGAGAGATTAAATTGTATGTATGCATTCCGTTAGTATCAAGGAAGTGTCTTTTAGAGATTTAAACTTTCAATCATCACCCAACCACCGTATACCTTTTTCATGATCAAATTTTTTTCATTTTTTTGAAAGTATTATTTTAATACTGCTGTCAGAATTATTGTCTTATAGTATAGTATAATGTCTAGTTGTGTTATATTATTATAGTATTTTCTGTAGCATAGGATTATGAGAGAAAACCATAATTTTATTTTATGCATTTACCTATTTTTTTTTTTTTTTTAATTAATTTTATTGGTGTTGTTTAACAAGTTTCTTTGTAGTTAAAAGTCATGCCATACGATGTAATAATAATAGTTATAATATTGGGTTATGTATTGTTTATGTTCTACAATTATAAATAAATAAATAATACTAAGTGGGGGGGGAGGGGGAAATTAGACTCTAGTAACGGAGTACTGCTACTCATAGGTGTTTTTATGTAATAGTATCTTTCATCATTCAAGTAATAATACCAAATACGGTATATTCGGTATTTTTATTAATTTTCTACCTAACTGAAATTAATAGACATTTTAAAATTAAATTTGAATATTACAACATATGTCGTAAACATTTGAGTAATATATTATACAATACGTATTTCGTGCAAGTAGTGTTTTCTCGTATAGTAATAAAATATAATAACTGTCATTTTCACAAGAATTGTACGTGCATACTTTTGTACACTTATAATAATTTTATTTAAAAAAAATATAAATAAATAAAAAAATTACACGACCCTATTGTGTAAACGTTGAGATTAGGTTGACATAATTCTTAATGTGAAAAGTGTTGTCTTTGTTTTAATTTTATTTCAAAACGTTATTGTTTAATTTTTTACGTTGTAACAGTATCTAATAGTTCGTTAAAAAGTAATAATCAGTTATTCGTTAAGGTTCATTTCAAAAGAGATATGTATATTAAAATCAAATACCAGCTATATCGTCATAACACTAATCAGCTATATACATTATGTTAAAGTACTGTTATATGATACAAAGAATAAAAAGATATACGGATACATTTCGCACGCTGGGTCACCAAACGATTCTGAGCGGAGTTCGGTTATAATAGTGTTACTTTGTCAACAATATATGTGTTATAATATGGTAAAATAATTTTGCATAATATGCATTGTATATTTTCTTTAATAATATTTGTTTAATTTAGTATCTATTTTCTGTTTTTCCCGGTGTTTTCCATTTATTGGGAAAGCTCCTGGAATCATCAAACAATGATCTCCCTAAGGTATCACCCCCCTTCAGATTTCCTTTCAAAAAAAAGTGCTAAAGTTGAAAATCTTTGCGAAATTGCCGATAGAAAAATTGTCCACATAAAAAAAAAAAATAAACATCATCGTAAAACCAATACGTTCCTAGCTTCGCTCAGAATCTCAAATGGAGATTTTGATGCGATAAAAACAAGCTGTATGGGACAGATGAGAAAGTGGATGAATAATATGACGGAAAATCAGGAATAATAAGAATCGTAATAAACACCAGACGGAAGCTGGTCAGTGGGACACGTGTGCCGTGTGGAGATCGAAACGATTATCCAGGTACTTGGACAAATAACGAGATGGAGACCCATACGAATATTGAACGGCCAAGAGGATATTCTCGATAATAGGCCAGAATAAAGGAAGAATTAAGATTGGTGGACGTGGTGGACTATGAGAAAAAAACCAGAGAGAGATGGAAATGGCGTATTGTCACGGTGATGATGGACATTTTTCGTCGCTATAGCATCATGTACTACAGTTTTCTTCTATTAAAATAAGAATATGTATACAAATGTATACGGATGCGAACGAATTGAACTTGTTTGAAAATAAATATAATTCGATTTGAAACAATATTAATGCAAATCCGTGGAATACTATCTATTCCAATAGATTGTATTATGACCCGTTTCGGTAAAAAGAACCAGCGTAAACAAATATTTATAATGATGTATATTATATGCATCCGTCTGCAGATTTATAATACAAACTTAGTTTAGTGTCATTATAGAGAGAAACGAAAATAATATTATCCGTAACCAGATATGTCTTGCGGTTAACTTTTTCTAATAATATAATCGACTGTCGTGAAAACCTCGTAGTTTATAATTCCCTTCGCGATATTGTTCGTCGTCGGTTTTATTTATGCGTATTCCATCGCGTTCATTTGAAATCCAGTTATGAAATTTAAATAAATGATTACTTTTCTTTTATTATAATTTTTTTTTTTTTACGGTTCTCGAGTTAAATTGAAAGCGTTTCTTTATTTCGTGAAACTCATAATATTACGATAATGTTCACAGGATATTTGTATACATACCAATTACATTTATAACCCAAATCAACAATAATTATTGTATACAACCGGGGATATTTTTTATTTGTATAAATATTTCATTATTAACTCGGTTCGTTTTATAATAATATAATGTGTTATACGAGTCAGATACCAAAACAGACTGACTGCGTTTCAAGAACGACCGGGTCTAGAAAATTGAAATTTCGCATATATTATTTTGGAAATTCCCGCGTGAATCTGTACAGCAAAACCCGAAAATTGCTTATAACTTTTACTGGTTTCCGTTGGTTATAAGTAAGAAAAGACGTCCTAGTATAATGGGACGGGTGCAGCCACGGTTAGGTAATTTAATGTATACTTATTTAAGCAAAGATAAACCATTGCTATCGAAAAAACGATTCTGAGCGGAGTTCAGTTGATAGTGATAATTTGTCAACAATATAATATGTCATATTATGGTAAAATAATTAAATAGACTTTATATATTTTTTTTTAATGATATTTGTTTAATGTCCCGATTTTTCCTTTTTTTCTCCGTTTTTTTTTTCGGTTTTTCACATTTGTTGTGAAAACTCCTGGGAAAATCGAAAAACAACCTCCCTAAAGTACCTCCCCACACCGATTTCCTTTCAGAAAAGATACTACATTTAAAAATCAGAGCAAGATCTCTGGTAGAAAAGTTGTCCACAGAAAAAAAAATGGTTTTTGTAAAACCATAAGCTTCTTCGCTCCACTAAGAATTTAAAAACCAATCGTTATCAATATATTTAATTTAGTTGTCTAGTTTATTGATATTATTGAATTTATTATAGCTCGTATATTGTTATTATACGCGAGTATTTGATTTTTGTATTTGCACGATACAATAAAATTTCCGAGCCAATCCGATTTACTCTCGAGATTAATAATTGCTACTAAACGTATTAATATTTCTGTTTACTTGTGTATACAATACTAACTCAACTCATTGTTCTACAGGACTTATTGACTATGCCAAAACATAAGACAAAATGTAAGTTAAATATTTTATAATTTTAATCGGAAACCCGTTTTCGTATTAGTTATTATTTTATAGGTCAAGCATTATTAATTGTTTTTATTATTATTTATTTGATCAAAACATTTTGAATAAATATTATTAATATGTTATTATACTATTATAAAATATAATATATACGACATTTATAACCTATATAATTCGTATAATACCGAATCTTTGATTTTTTTGTAGACATTTTAAATATTCAACTTATGAATTTTTAAATTGATTAGAATTTAAACCGAGTAAACATTATTAAATGATTAAAAAAAAAAAGTTTTTACTATAGTACGAGTTTATATAAAATTGTATTGAAATGCATAAAGAATTTAATTTCTGTGCAACTGAATATTATATACGTACGCCGCTAATGTTATCTCAAAACCTATATCTGAACTAAATTAATTGTAAATAGGATTTAGAAAACATTTACAATTTTTTTATTTTTTGTAAAATGCGCATATTATTAACTTTCCGCGTGCAGCATTCCATTAAGTCGTGTGCACATATTATACGTGTATAGTAGGTATATTTTTAATTTAATATTTTTGTCTTAACGAGCGGAAAGACTAAACGTGAAATATTATTCGTAATTAAAATGTTGCTAAATTATAACAAAAAAAGAAAAATCGTTCCGAAATCGTAATTTATTAAACACGCAAAAAGAAAACGGTATTCGGAATAATTTACCGGCGTAAACCGGAGTGTAAACGATATTCTGTTGTTTTGCTACGCGGTAGTGTTTGGGCGTGGGTACACACCCAGACCCCCGGTATCCTCGGTACAAATCTCGGCTGCCGAGACTTTTTCGCGATATTCGCGCGACGATTTATTAACTGGAAATACAGCAAAAAAAAGAAAAAAAAAACACCCGCATTCGGCGGCGTCTCGAATCCGCGGCGGTCCGTCCGAAATGGCGAAATATAATTTATTTTAGTTTTAAAATATCGGGAAAAAAAAACAACAACAAATTAATAATAATGAAAAAATTAACGACCGGTGTATTATATCGTGTATTGCGTATTGCGTATACGTTAATAACGATATTACAATGAGAGAAGCGTGGCGTCTCGTACAATTTCTCGTTATCGCTGACGAAACCGGGGTTGGCGAAACAATAAATAGGAAACGGAAACGCGCGGCCAGCCCTCGCCCGCCCCCGCGCCGCAGCCGGCTCGCGTTTCCCGGCGATCGGAAACGGCGCCGCGCGGAACGTGCCGCGTCTAAATGCGTTCTCCGCCGCCGTACGTTCTCGAACGCCGAGCAGCTGCAAAAGATTGTGCGATACAGTACCCGGGCCCCGGCCGTTTCCTCCGTTTTTCACCGTACATTCGAACTGTACGACAATTGTGTACGCACGCGAACCCGGACGCGAGACGCCGAAACGACAGAGAGAGAGAGAGAGAGAGAGAGAAAACGAAAAGAACGGGTGCGCCGCACTCAGGCGACGAATGCGATGTTTTTCGCCGGCACGCGCCGCGTTCCGTTCCGTCGACGGGCGTCGTTCGCATCTGTCTCCGGCGGACGCACGTGCCCGGCACCTTTCCGGGGGAAGAAAACAAAACAAAAAAATTTACAACCCTCTTGTACAGCCGCGTAATAGCCGTGGGTGGTACCCGGGCAGCATAGACCGCGCGTTTCACCATGTTCGATCGTGTGCGCGCGTACGTATCGTTATATAAGGACGCGGCCGTCGGTCCGCGGGTTCAGTGCGAGTGTCGAGACGCGCGTCTAGTGGTACGCGCCCCCCGGTACGTAAAACATCAGAACGGCGTCCCCGTGTAACCCGTGTTCAAGTTGGAACAGCTCGAGCGTCGCCGGCGCGGTCCGTTTCGAAGTCCGTGCGCGCACGATCGACCGTCCGAAATTCGATTCGCGTGGTAGGCGTTCGCGAAGGTCGCGGCAACCGCGCCGAACATGGCTTTGGTGTACACGGTATTGCTCATCGGGTTTTTTTTATTATTATTATTATTTTTTTTTTTTTTTTCTTGCCCCACTCGACTCTGGCGCGTTTATCCGACTTGACGATTTACGGTTATGGGCCGGCGACGAATCGATTATTAAAAATCTACGTATATGTATTATGTCGGAACGTCTGCTTTTCGCGTCACGCGTTACGATAGTCACCGGCCATTGTCTTTCAATCGGTTTTGTACCGCGTACAGATTATTACGCGGTATTGTTATTACGTGGGGAGGAGGGGGGAAAGTCGGGGAAATCGAGAATATCTCGGGATAATTCTGGAATTTTGAATTTTGATGGCCCGTTGAGATTTTTTTTTTTTTTTTTTAATGGTACTAATATTCGTGACATTGAAACTAAATTAAAATTTAATATTTACATTTATTACCGTGTATTATATCTACGCGTAGATTTACGTTGTGCATCGAACTTTCTTAACGGATTTGCGATTCTGTAATAACAGTTGTCACTGGTTTTTCGTTACAAAACTGAATTTTGTGTTACCGACATTTTCGTTAACCCTGTCGAATAACCCAAAAAGTTTCATTAAATTGACCGATCAAACACTATCTTGATGATAAGTGATAAGCATATATATATATTCATTCGTGGTGATAAGCTATTTTTTTGTATCCCAAACTAAAATTATTTTAAACTAATGTTCCACATCATTTGTCGTATTTCGCCTTTATTTATGTATCTATAACTAATAAGATTAGTGATTAAATGGTAGAGGCGTGACATAAGGTAGATACGTTGGATCAAAAATACAGTAGATTAAAAAATGATTCTCTCAGAAGTGCTATTTACAAATTATTTATGCATTAATTATTTATTTTTTATTTTTTTATTTTTTTTGTTACAAAGAATTCAATATTGTGATATATTTAAACTCTTATACTGTTCAAAGTATTAAGACTTATAATAATTATTAGTTGGAATAAAATTTACACATTTTCGTCAAAGAATTAGTATTGTTATTTATTCAAATAGTTTTATTTTTATCTACTGACTTTTTAGACATTTCATAGTGTAAATGTTACTTATATTTTGTGTAATAACATTAAACATAAAACATTTTAGTATGGAAAACTATAAAAAGTCAGGAAGTTTTCAATTTCAAAAGAGTCGTAACCCTGATGATATACCGGTATTGGTTATCGGAAAACGATGTTGACAACTACGACCGTATTAATACATATGACGTCGGTCTTGTTTGTTTAGGTTACGGCTAGGATGATGGCGCCGAAAATACAAGAAGATGAAAACATCGTCAACAACAACAACAACAACAAAACCGACGGTCCCGGATTCCAACTCAATATTGAAGACACGACGGCCGTAGTGCACGGCGGGAATACGGATTCGAATTCGACAAACAATAGGTATATATAATACATGTATACACAAAATACAGTGGGCCAATTATTGAAATCATAAGATTAATTCTCGCATGTGAGTACGTGACTTTTACAACTCATACTGGCATTCTTAACGAAATCGATAAGATTTTATCACTTACCGAATACGATAAAATATGTAACATGAAATCATTTAGATTTCCGAAGAAAAAAAATCTAGACTTTAACTACAAACAATTTTGCAAATTACGAATTGCTATTATGCGAATTATCGCCGATTCTTATTTATTATCATTCATACACATATCTACTCTCCGTTAACGCCAATAATTGTGGCTAGTTTATTGTTAGTTTTTTAATAGTTTTGATTTTGTATGTCATTCATCTTAAACTGGACACATGAAGTAAAATATCTCGCGCCGTCACCGTTAACAGATAGGTTATTATATTAGTGCAGAGCGATTAAAAAAAAAAATAGAAACGGGAAAATGATTTGAGCACAATAGTAAAATATACAAATTTTAAATTGTTAAAATTTAAAATTTATAAATTGATTAGATGTTGATATATGTGACCCTTTAGGCATTATCATGTGATATAAGCTTGTCACCGACTTTGTATCCAGTCGAATAATAGAGAAATGTTTTTCATTCGACTATACAGTCGTGCATTTTTTCAAGAATATACCAAATATTTATTTTTATGTAATAACATTTGTATGGAATGCGACAACGTTTATCGCGATATTTTAGAGTCGGTCCACTAATTGAAATGGTTAAAATATATAATTTAAAAAAAAAAAAAAAAACATTATTGTAATTCGTTCGTTTTTGTCATTTGACTGTCAAGTCAATTTTCCAGTATGTCCGACGAGGAGAGTTACGAGTGTTACGGCGAGGGAGACATGGAGACATCATCGCCCGTCACCAACGTGTTCACAAAGTTTGTATACTCATACTTAACGACATCCGCATATTATTCTATATGTTCCCAAGTCCATCTGCGGTGGCATCGGTTCCCCGATGACATATAAATAGCCTTATCGACGGCCGCCTTAAAAATTCTAACCGAGGTGGCGTGATGCATTTGTTATCATAATTTGTAGACGTTACTTGTACTTACATCTATTATTATACTATATATTTGATATCATTTGTATTTCCGCCACGTATACCGAAAACGATATTTATTTTTACTGTTTTACGGTGTCATCGGTATGACTAATGACACTCACTGATGCCATCACAACAAATTAGGAACACATAGGCGTATAATGTATAAAATGGTGGCAATATTTTTATCGCGCGGTAATTGTATTTCAGCGGCGTCGAAAGTCTGAATACCAATACGTTGGGTCTGAAGAGAAACACGTGGCTCAGGACGAGTTTGAGGAGAACGACAAACGGGAACAGGTACCCATCCTAAAATTACTAATGATGATGTAAGGGCGTTATGCGTTCGGATGAATTGCTTTTTTTTCCTCAAAATAAAAACTGTGTGTTTGAGCGAGAACAGTTAGGTACAATGTATAGAGTGTAAAAGACAAAATTATGCGTATATATTGTTTTTTGACATCAAAATCTAAAGAGACAGATACTTACAAATATATTTGTATGTAGTTTGAAATAAAAACAAAAATTAATGTATTTTTTCAACAGGCAAAATTTTAAATGTACGAAAATTTCATTCAGATTTTGGAAAAGCCACTCATAACGCAGTTCTTAGTTAATTTCCGGGGTGTTCATTGATGAGTTGTCAGTATCATTTATGTTATACAATATTGGTTTCGACAAATCCAAAAAAAAAAAATGAAACATTTTTAAGGAAATATGGTATCAATTCCGGAATTGGTATTTAGCTAAAATATTTTTTAATGTCCAATGAAGTAGATGTTGGTTTCATAAAATTTAGGTCGATTTATTGATCTAAGAACAGACATTGAATTTACGAATTATATACTTGAAACATAGATTTCAGAGGATTCCATTTTTCTTTCATATTTACGAGCAAGAAAACTTACAAATGTTACAAATATTCGCTCAAACACATTTCAATATATTAAAATTACTCTCCAAAACACATTGTGGTAAATTGCCCAACCAACAATGCAATTTTTATAAACTCGCCGAAACGTAAACCGCCCTATAATTCATTGTCATTGACGATTCCATCGTTAGTTGTTTACGTCGCATTAATATAATAATGTGCCGTTTGTAATTGTGTTTTTCTTTTTTTTTAGTGCCGAAATTCTACCGAATCGTAAATGGGGTTCAATGAGACATTCGTAAGCATATTTAATGTATTATATAGTTTTTTTTTTTTTTCTATATATACTCTGTTCGACCGGTAATTATCACGCGTGCACGCGAGCTTTTAAATTTTAATGCTCCAAATCGTTTTATATAGGTACAAACGATTATTTTTAGTAGACGCACACAGTTCACAGCGAGGTTCGCGTTCGTGACTGGACGTAATACAAGTTTTATATTTATTTCGAAAAGAAATATCGTGTAAACAAATTGTATTTCACTATCCATAGGTATATATAAATATATATATACTTTCGATCCGTATTGTAATGTATTCACGATAATGTATAAAGATTTCGTATCACATACGATATCGTGGGTTCGTTTCGTTTTAGTGCGCTGTATAAGTAATAAGTATAGTAGGTAGGTACGTGAATGGAAATTATGCACGAGGCACATAATAGGTATAATTTTTCATACTTTTTACATAGATTAACATCAGCCGCTGTGATGATAAAGCCGGTAGAAAACCGAGACGATTGTTGGCTGTTTTCTTCTGTAATTTTTAATTGTACTCGATTTACCGAGCGATCCGTAAATATGTATACACATGTACTGTATATAGGTCTGCAGTTGTTGGTAGGTATATCGAAAGTCGAAAGAAATATCAGTTGATCGACGATGAATATCATCCACGATTAATAGTATGTCCGTGGAGCGCCACGGACAGTAAACGGAACGTGCAATTTACTTGAAAACTATTAATTTCTGTAATACTGATGGTTTCGATTATAGACTTTCGGATTTAGATTGCTCGCCCCTTCTTTATTGATAATTGGTCGTTAAAAAAAAAAAAAATTATAATAACCGTGAACAGCAGAGCTAGTCGAGTTCCCCCCTTCCACCAATTTTCTATGTAAAACAATAAAATAATGGAATTCTATAGAAGTATATAATCTACAAAAAGAAATTAAAGTAGGCGTGAAAAAACAATGTTGAAATTTTGGCATACAAATAGGAGAAACTAGGGTTAAAAATTGAAACTCCCAAAATGCGCGTCCTTATATTATGTACTCTAACGCAATACGTATTATATGACATTTCGTTCTCATATTCCTGTATTCGGGGGTTTGCAAAATTTATTTAAAATCCTCTGAGAAAATCGATGGTTCGTTCGTAATGAGCTGTTCACTCTGTATACAAAGTTATTCTTGAAAGTTATAAATTATTATTGAGAAACATCGACATTATAATACGAGTTGAGTATGTTTTAGTCGTGGTGCAGGTATGTAATAATAATTAGCGCTAAAGTTTGTGACCTCTAAATTGGCAAAAAAAAAACGCCTGCTAGCTCCTTATTTGGTATACCAAATAATTTTTTTTTTTTTTATTATTATTAAATCGCGTGTGGGTTCGTCTCGTCGGCGGACACAAAAGAAACTATTGTCTACAATTCTATATTCGAAATCGTGTATCACACTGCTGCACTGCTAGCAGCAACAACGGCAGAAAAATTATTTTATTATTTTTGCGACCGAAGTTCGTACCTGACGCAGTCGACGCGAACGTTAATGATTTGCATAGTTCATAATTCTTGACAGTCGTATATTATTATTATTATTATTATTATTTGTTTTTTTTTTTTTTTTTTTTTTGAGGGATCGTTTCATCGTTTGTGTGTAATTTGATGTTTTGACTGCACGAATGCCGAGTGGAAATTATAATGTTCTCGCGATTTAAGTACATACCTACCGCGCAAAAACGAATAATATTTTACTACTACTATGTAGGTAAATAATATGTTCTAATATCGCAGGATTGTCGTTTACGTAATTTAAAATGTACAGTTTTTCCATAGTATAATCGCGTCTAGTGTCGGCCGGTATACAGCCGCGGTTATATGTTTTCATTTCCGTGCCGTAATAACGCGAAAACATTTCACAAAATCTACTAGTTTTTCTCTCTACTTTACGAATATTATACCGTCCCGTCATTTCAGTAAGGGAGACCTGACCTTTCTCCTCCTATTTTTCCTCCTCGCTTAATCGAATAAACCGATTTTTCGGGTAAAGTGCGTGATGCCGCGAGAAGTATTTTCGTATTATTTATTTGCGTTGTCGTCATAGTTACATTATATTATTAAAACGAAATATCGTTTCGACACAAGCGAATTCTGTTAATCAATATTTCTTTGGTCTCAAGGAAGAAGGGCTCAAATAAATTGTGCACGGTTTTATTATACAAGCAAATTAAATTCTGCACCAACACATCTAATTTCTAATCACTATTTCGGCCTAACACGTCAAAATTGAGATAATGACATTTGCTAATGGTGTACGTTATTATTTAGAATTGTTTTTACTATACCTATATATAACTTATAACCAGCCTATTTTGATCTGTACATTTTTCAATAGACAGCGGCTTTAAAAGTGTTGTAAAAGACAAATATTTGTTCTTTTCTTAATGCAACGCTGGCCTATTTACATAGGTGTGGAATATTCAATAGATTGTGTTACTTTTGCGCTGAGGCTCTCAAATATTCCGTTATTGCTGAACAAAAACTACATCACAGATATGAGATGTCCTAATTTTCAGCATAACATATTGTGTCGGGATAAACACACACTTAGCCATTTAAACCAGATCATAAAGGGAAACGAATTTTGTAAGATAAAATTTAAAAAAAAAAATCACAAAATTAACTTTCTTCCCTGGGACTAAAGATTTGTATTTACGGTTACCTATTACAATATTGTAATATTGTGTAATATTTATTCCGATGTTCTCTCTAAACTTACGTATAGTATTTTTAATCGTATTCGCGCGTTTACATCAATGCACAACTCAACAAAGTGCAATGGCTAGACGATCTGCACGATCTGCGGTGAACGATAGTAATATTATTTTCTTTTTCACGCGAATTGCACATATATAGGTGATTTTTTTTTTTTTGTCACGATCCTTAGAGGTGCTAAGACGTACTCACACTACCTTGTAATTTGTACCTATCCATAATTGTAGGCAATATGGGTAATTGTCAGTCGTTAACTCTGTGGTGGCATTCAGGCTTGATAAATATTTATTTTGGTTTTTTATTATTAAGTATTTTATGAAACCATATTTATTACGTTTCAACAATTTTTTTTCAGTAATTGGCCTGGCGTCTGGCCTTATAAAATATTTACATACCCTTATAAGAAACTGAAATAGCGCCCTCCTGACGTTACAGTGATTTTGTTTAAGCTTTATTATAATAACATTATTTGCAAACCTATGCCCAGTGCTTATTTTTACTTCGAATTAGTGTCGTATAAATTGATTTTCAAATCTCAACCCCTACGAACCTTTTTCAACGCAGATTAGAACAAAAAAAAAAATTTCTTTTTTTTTAAATTATAACAAATTTCTTGTTCGTTTTTTCGCCTTTATTTATACTCCGGTCTAAACTTTAAACTGTTATTACGATGTCTTATAAACGGTATATCCGATACTTATAGCGATATATGCACTGTAAGCGTATCAACAACTGTCGGCGAAGTATTTTCTTTCCGACTCCGGTCTGAAAACCGGTATGCTATGTGGATAACAAAAGTTATAGTGTGTATTTATAATATGCAGTGTATACGTGGAAGAAGTGTAAAATGTTGAAAACAATTATTGTAATAAATAAGATCGTTGAATAATATCAGACATTTTTTTTTCTGATTAGGATCTCATATATATATATATATATTTGGATGGGGAATATTTTGTCTACTTTGCTCGTGGAACAATAATTCTATCAGATCAGATATGCGAATAAAAAAAAAAGTATACGGTTTGAATAAATCCTTATAGATTTGTTGAATTTTTTTTAGAAAGCTCCTCCGTGTACATGATAATCGCTAGATTCTACTGCAGGGTCGTGATTAAAAAAAAAAAAAAAAAATCGTAAAAATCATCGCGTACCTATTATTCGTACACGGCCAAAAACCGAATCCGTGAAACTATTGCCGTTTTCCCGTGCACGTTCGCCATTTAATTGTGTTATAAATATCGCGTATTTCGACGATACTGTATAGGTGTACATTGAAAATCGTTTATTATTGTCCGTCCGGATGGATGATATTATTATCTTTAGGTTCACGGGCGTTTGCGGGCGAAAGTAATGCGGTTTTTTTTTTCTCGCGTCGATTGTTTACATTCGTGCAGCGCGCGGTATAGGAAAACTACAACAATTCTGTAATATAATAATAATGATAATAATAATAATACTCACATACGAACGTTTTGTCATGTTCCAAACGGTTATTTTTTTATAGGTACGTGTATTGTAAAAACGAAAATGAAAAATTACGTAATTTTCTCTCTATTCATAATATTCGCCGACGCACAACAAGTGCTGCAGTATATACACTATACTTAAACACAATACATACAAATACATGTACAGGGCGATTCTTTTGCGTCATAAACCGGCGATATGATTATATTGCGTGCACATTTACGGAGATTTCGAATAAACTAATTGATTTCGGTTGCTTATTGTTTATATTTAAGAGGATGCGCCTAACGTGCCCCTTGTCCTTTTTCCACCAATAGATATATCGATCAGTTCCCAACAAAACAATTTCTATATCATTATGTAGAATAAGCGCAATCGACTTTCGGTCATGCAATGTCCGATATATTGTAGGACATTGGTTTCATTCACCGATTTGTGATTCGGTGATAACAATATTATGTTTATCGGTGAAAGCCCGGAACGAGATAAAAATAAATTAAACAATTAAAAAAAAACAAAAAAAAAACGTAAAATTATAACTATCGATGAAAGTTCGAACGGGAATCAGAAAGCGATGGGCCGAAAAGGATAGAGAGATTGAATGAACGTGTGATGAGATGGTCTTATATGTGTCTTGTAATTTTTCGATTTAATCATTTTTTCTGGTAGAAAACGTCGTGTTTTTATGGAATAATGAAATCGTGAAATTGTACGTTTTCCTACGTTTTTTCCCACTTAAGTGTTTTTATTTGAAAAACGGCGTCGAAAATCAAAAAATTACCTCTCTGTAGTACAATATAGACAACTTGAGCTTTCGGAAAAGTTGGAGCAAGTTTACTTGGAAAAACACGTGTCCACAGATCAGAACAAAGAAAAAAAAAATTAACAGCATTGTAAAACCAATAACTCTCTCGCTACGCTCGGAATCTAAAAATGATTATGGGAAAATTTACAATGGTGACATTTTGTAAATATTGTTGTATCATTCTAAATGGTTCTCTGGACTCGGAAATTTGCTCAAAAACGTTGTAGCCAATCACTGATTCGTGATACAAAAAAAAACATTACGCCGTACCTACTCCGTCGTTGTGTGGTGTACATTAAAAAATCGGTCTGATTTTTTCTTCGCTTTTTCGATTTTATTTCTCGGGCCGATAATTTTCGCGTCGCTGCCGCTGTTCTCAGCAGCAGTTCACGCCAAATACCGACGCGTCCTTGAGTTCAACGAATCCGCGTCGGTGTAAGTGTACACCGTGACCGGAATTCTTTCTATATACAATACGATATAGTATTATATCGTTAGTATCTACCCAAATACATATATTATGTATATAATGTATCTGTTTATACACAGGGTGTCTCTGAACCGTGTGCCGCCACTGGCATTGCCGTACTCTCGGGGACGGGGTGACCTATAATAACAATAATCTGTTATTCGACGTCGTATAACATGCCTGGGTAATTATAGTAGGTATGATTTGTTACTGTGCCCGTTATTTTTGAAGTTGAACGTTTTAATTAAGGACCGCCGGCCGGAAATGCGTTTCGACAGACACGCGCCTTAGAACAGGGTCCGTACAGTTTTTAGCTCGGTTGGATACGATTTACATTTTCGCGCGATGATTTATTTGTGATTTGATCGAATATCGCGGTGGACGTAATGAGCGCCGCCCCGCGATGACGATTACAAATAACGTAACGATGTCACAGGATGCCGCGACTAGACAATAGCGCGCAGTAAAATTGCATTTTAGACCCTATCCACGTTGACCATACACTGTCACGTTTGTCGGGCGACTTTCGGACCGAACGCGTACGTAAACTGCTGTACCGCGGTATTTCCAACGACATTCCCCCTTAGGTATAGACGTGTCGACAACGATCGTTTTTCGGAGCGTCGTGCGCCACGGCTCTTGTGCGGGCCTTTGTCGCGGAAACACCGCGCCGCGTAGTGGCCGTACGCCGGTTCGTAAACACCCTGTACATGTTGTTGTTGTTGTTATTTACGACAGTATAATGATCTGAAGAAAGAAACAAAAAAAAAACGAGGTTCGAGTGCGTATACTATGGGTGTTGTGCAGCGGTAAATACTAATGTGTATAACGCGCGCCGCGATACCAACGAAATTATTATCCGGCGAACGTTATGACCCAGTGATGCGGTGAAAAAACAACCGACAAAAAAAAAAAAAAAAAAAAANTATACGATCTTGTGCGGGCCTTTGTCGCGGAAACACCGCGCCGCGTAGTGGCCGTACGCCGGTTCGTAAACACCCTGTACATGTTGTTGTTGTTGTTATTTACGACAGTATAATGATCTGAAGAAAGAAACAAAAAAAAAAAAAAAAATGAAAGGCGAAACCCGACGGTCGCTTATGAACCGGAGGAATGCTGCTGTAGCGTGCGGCCGGCCGTTCTACTATGACCCGCGGAGCGAGACTGCTATTACAGTGCTACGGCGCTGCGGGCCGCGTTGGTATTGCAGTCTCGCAGTAGGTAACCGACCGTACTGTTCGCGCGGCGCGCCGTCCGCCCGCCCGCCGCATTGGTTTTAATTTTTTTTTCATTTAGGCACCCGCCATTACGGGCAGTGCCATTACGGACGGTACGCGCGCTCGACACCCCTTCTAGGCGGCGGCGAACACGTGACACGCGTTCACAAACGTTCGCGTTCGTTTCGCCGCGCGTCCCTCTCCCCCGGTGGTCCGGCGCCCGTTAATAATTTCACCGACGCGAACGCAGGGGCGGCGGGCGCCGTTAGTCTGTCAAACCGTTGCGGCGTTAACGTCACCTGCACCACGCGCGCCGGCGAGGTCTCGCGGTTTCGCCGATAACGCAGTTCCCGCGTATATAAAATATATTTCATTATCGGGACATGCCGTTACGGTCCTGCGGGTAGTCGACGACGGGAGACATGAAACAGGAGTATCGGTCTTCGTGGAGAAGGTACGTTTTTTTTTCGGTTTTTTTAAAATTTTAAAACGCGATCGTATAGGCGCAATAATTGCCGGCCGACAGCTGCGCTCGCAGAAGGCTTAAACCTAAATTCGTGTGTGTTTTTTTTTTTTTTTATGAAAATCGGTTAGGTTTTCGTATTGTTATTATGTTTGCAAGTGTTGTCTATTGTTGTTGTTGGCGTTTACCGTCACAGCCCGTTGTCTTGGTCGGTACCATATGGCGAATAACAATAATTATTGTTATTATTACGTCGTCGTCGCGAATAGAATAACTTTTTTTTTTTCTGTTCGTTTGTTTATCGCGTTTTTACCGTACGGATTCCGACAGGTAACGCCGCGTAATTGCGAAAAATTGCGAAATTTCGCCCACGACGACCGTTGTGCGTCATCGCCGTCGCCCCTGCAGTCACAGTCATCGTTCTCGGTCGAAAAGACCTCGGTTCGAAAAAACGATCGCGTGTGATAATTATTATAATAGTGCAACAGGTGACTAAAAACTGTAGAATAAGTCGCGTCCGAAAACATTTTTCGAAAAACAAATCGAACAGTAATCGTCGTCTTATATAGTACGCGTCAATACCGTCGGTCCGCGCCCGTTGCGCGGGTCCTGACTCTCGGTACAGTAAACATTACACCTGTTTAACTTCAGGGTTTTTTTTTTTTTATTTCGCCCTCCTTCTTAATTAGGTCTTTTGACGAGCGCTGTTCGCCGTTCGCGGCGGGTGTTATTTACGAAAAAAGAAAATCGATTTGCCCGGTGTCCTTGAAAAGAACTCGTACGACAGTATTCAGATTACCGCGGCCCGCAGGCAGACCGCAGTTTTAAACAATATATTTATCGGCATTATAATATAATTGGTATAGTAATGTATAAAAAAAAAAATAAAATAATAAAACTGTCGTCATTTCCATACGAAACACACACCATACTTGTACAACGCGGGCGATAATCGTTGTGTTTGTGCGGTCGAACAGTAAAAGAAAAAAAAAACCGTTTTTAATTATTCGAAATCGTCCGTCCAATGATAGCGTAATTTAATTCGACGCGTAGGTACACCGCATAATATTATCGTTGCACTCCGGTTGCGCGGTGCCCTTCGGTAAAATTGCTCGTATCGTTTTCCGAACGCGTCCGAATAAAAATGCGCGCGCGCGATTTCCGTATTTAATTTTACTCGATAGCGTTCCTGCAGCAGACCTCTCGTTTTCGGAACGTTTCGCCGCGGATCTCCAAAGAACACAACCCCTTCCGTACCTCACAGCCGTCACCGTTTCCGTCCTCGGTCCGGCCCTTCCAATACGGGCCCCGCCGGATATATACGTCCCTTCAGGCCTGACGGTTCGTGCCGCACCAAGTTCTCCCTGCCCCCCTCCCAATCTCGAGATTCGATGATAATATATTGTGATATATCACAATAGTTACACCATTCATGGTTGTTCTCTTATCGCGTTATTATCAATTTGAACACGCGTGTATTACGTTATTATTCGAACGTGCGCCGGATGTTGCAATATTGTATTGCCAATAGCAATCTCTGAAGTATATAGTATACGGTAGTAGGTTATTGTTCGGAAGTGTTCGAGTCTCGGTAAACTCGTACGGTTTTTTTTTTGCATACGACCAAGTATAGGAATGTTATTAGGTACTACTTCAGTACTTGAAGTCGAACACGCGGTGGTCGTTCGCAAAACTCGGCTTATTTTAATATACCAACAGCGTAGTGTATGTACATTGCGAGTACAACGGGAAACGCGTACAGCGGGGAGACGTTACTGGGGTCTTTTATCGATAAACGGGCGGGCAGGCGGGTCGAATAGTATCGCCGGACTAGCTCGCGCGCAGGTGTCGTGCAAGGTCGCGCCGGCCACCGTCGCCCTGTATAATCGGTACGCACAATCGCGCCGTCCGTTAGAAAAACGATAAAATATTCGAAATCCGAACGTTTAACTGCAAATATATTACCGCGGTAATGGATAGCTAATGATAATTATTGCTGCAGTTATTAGGCTCGTGATACGTGTGCGTGGCATTAAGAAAACGCCATTTTATGTATTTAGCATAATATTACGGCGCGTGTACCTGCTATACTGTACTACTGCACATAGAAAGTAGCTTTCCATCATAAATAATATTGTAGTCACTGTTTGGTGTATAGCTGCTGCTATTATGTATCTATTAATGAATAGATATTTCGGGAGAAAAAAAAAACGCGTTATGGTTGTTTTTGCAAATGCGCATATTAAGCGAATTTTACTGCAGTGCAGCAGATCGCTTTTACTTTTTTTTTTTCATTTTTCCTCGATTTCCATTATTATAATACCGAGGTTGTGTAATAATAGTATATAATAATAATTTAATTATAATTAACGATTTGATATAATAAAACGTCCGCGTTTGTTTTGTTTTTGTTTGTTTCGCACAGGTCTGGCAAGAGGATCAGCTCAAACGCATTAGCCAGGTACGGTATCAACGAAGATTTACACTTTTTCGTTATACGGGGTGATTTACGATTGGGGACAGTAATATAGTTCTGGTCGAATTGCACTCGGGTCAAAACCCGCGAGTAACGACGCGGGTAGAGGCTGGGGGGCTTAGCCCGCTAAACATTTTCATATCTCCCTAAAATAATTATAAAAAAAATCAATAAATTATTATTCTAACCCCCCTCCTTTCCCGCGTAAAATTCAATAAATTCTCCGCCTATGAGTGACGGTCGAAAACTCGGGGTCAAAAGAATAATGTTTGAAAAATAAAAAAAACAAAGGAATACTTGACTTAAAATCAAACTCTTATCACTCTTACTCCCGTTTACAACCTTAGGAATTTTCACCAGATTAAATTAAATATATTACATATGTTATACGGTGCAATTTGTCGAGTTTCTCTTTTATAGATTTCTACAAACAGTAATTATGCGCGCGTTAAATAATTATAAAAATAATTCGGCAAGTTCAAAGCAACGCTTTTTAATTTTATAAAAGTACCCATGTAACAGAGAAAACTCATTTTTAAGTACACGTCGATGATTAAACCGTAACCAAACCTTTTTTTCTACAGTGCAGTCCGACCATTATCGTTTTTTTTTCCATCCCAAGAAGTGCAATTCGACTAAAATAAGTGCGCTTCGACCTTGTCCATTAGCCCCGTCGTCCTTGTTCAAATGGGGTTTTTTTTTTTTTATTTGTTTTTGTCTATATCGTATATTATTATTATTTTATACTATAGCGAACTATACCGGAGTTCGAGTTTCAATTCGTCCGGTCGGAGTTCCATTTGCGATACGCCCGACGATGTGTACTCTGACACGTCCATCGAAGAGGACGTTCTCGACCTCAACAATAAGGTATAATACGACGGCAGCTATTTATTATTTTATTTTTATTTTTCCGAATACTCAAGTCGTGTTAGGTGTATACGTTGTAATATCATCTTAAGTGCCTATATATTAGTATTATTATTATTATTACATTCTCCTTCACCTCCGCGTCCGGTTGAGACTATACAAATTATATTATATTGTTGGAACGGCGCGTAAACATTTTCCATACACGTCGCAGCGCGCCGTCGTCGTGTAAATAATAATTTTTTTTTTTTTCTTACTGTATTATTCCTCCGTCGTGTTTCGGTGGAAACGATTGTGTACGTCCGGAAATTTTGGTTCACACGCAGTTTAAATAATATTTTTATTTTTTACGGTACGCATAATATTACGTGTACCTGCCATACCTGCGTACGTGAACTCGTTCGCGGGTTTACCGCACGACTTACGGCCATCGTCGGTGTGTTTAAGTCATATATGAAAATCCGGCGTTAATAACCGATGCAGCTGATATTATCACACGTTGGGCGATCTCGTATAAAGTATTCGAAAACGGACGATTATAATACATGTATTAGTTGCAACTTTACAAGGCGAATCCTTTTTTTTATACTACAGAGAAAATAAAAAAACTACGTATACTCACTCGCCGACTATAGATTAAAAACGCAACAAAAATAAGGCGTCTTGTCGTTTTTCTATTGGAGCAATATTTATGGTAGAAAACATAAGCCGTAAACATTTGCCCCCCTTAGAAAATCGAAAAGTGACTTCTATATAATGCACCGGCTAGGCAAAATTTCCTTTCGGGATAAAGTACTATGGACTTTGTACATCGGAGCAAGATTTCTTTTCGAAAAGCTGTTTACAGAAAACAGAAAAACACATCATATAGTAAAACCAATATAAAAAAAAAAAAAACTAAAATTAATACATTTTTTCCCGAACCCGAAAAATTAATTGTCAATTTCTAATGAAACAATATATTGAATTTTAAAACGCAGATTTTTATTTTTTCCACGTGCAACATAATAAATTATACGAATTTTTCTTTTTAATCGAACTGTAATCAAATGCTAATGGGCCCATCAATGTGAATTTACAGCTATAATTCGACTGGTTTTTAAATGGCATAGATCTTGTGCAATTATGGTCTATTGTGAATGCAAATTAATAACAACAGTTTCAAGTCATTGATGATGTATTCAAGTAATTACACGATGTTGCTCGGCGGAAAATCGTTAATTTTAGATTTATTTTTAGGGTTGGGCCGAGCGAACGAGCGAACCATTTGTTTCACGACGGTGTGTTTCGTTCGATTTGTTTATTGTAATTTGCTCTAGAAATATTCTAAGCGTTCTTCGAAAAATTACGGATTTTTTTTTAGTTTTGAACCGGGATATAACCGACCAACTATTTATCCGCTATAAAAACGCGTCCGGATAATTTCCGATCGATTTCCTGTGTCCCTCCTCCCTGCGGAAAAATTAGTATTCTCGTTTTATTATCGCCGTCCGCTTTGAGTCCGGATATTGCTAGGGCTGGATTTTCGGAGCAAGATTTCCGGCAGGATTTTGATTTTCTTGACCAGAATCTTCTTCCGAATTTCAAACTTTTTTGGAAGATTATTTTGTCTAATTGGTGTGTTTTTTGATTTCCGTATGGGAAAGACCTGACAAAAACGGATACGTTTACGCTATAAATGCAGATTTGATTATTTTCGATTTTGTTTTTTTATTGTAATTCGGTTAAAAATTATCATAGTGATCTGATATTTTGACAGAACACTTATATTTTTGTGTTATTTGTAGACGTTTGAAAATTTCAAGTTTTTTTTTTACAAATAATAAAAACTAACTTGGCTATGATTTTTTTTATGCGAAAATTTTTTAGAAAAAAAAATTACAAGCTTCAGGTATCGAATATCAGGTATCTTCTAACCGAACTTCGCTCGGAAATCGTATTTCTTTATAGTTATGTATAATAACTATAATAGACTATAGATTACTAGGTCCCGACGCGATATCACAGTGGCGCTCACACTCCTTACCAAGTAGTGCAATTTGTTACACGGGCGTTCGTGGGTGGTGGGTACAAATTAAAAATTATAGCCGCAAGTCATATTAGAACAATCCAATTTGTACGTTTATTATTCGTGAGTGACGTGGGTGATCATTATTATTATCTGCTGCAGGGAATGATCGGGCGCCACTAGCAACTTGCATCGTTTCGGCCGCCCTAACGCGTTAGTCCCGGACAGTGCTGCGTGATTGTAATTCCCCCCCCCGCGATTTTCGATTATAATCGTTTAATCGAATACAAGAAAGTTGACGATTTTTTATCGATTATTCGGTTATTCGATCAATCGAAATAATCGCGCAGCCCTAGTCCTGGGACGCGTGCTATTATCGAAAGGATGATTTCAGTATTGAATGGACGGTGCCGCGCTTTCGTGGCGTTTTCCCGCCGTCGATTTACAATATTCAGAATAGCGTATTCTGCCGAGCGAATTACGTTACAGAAAAAAAGAAAAACTGACGATCCATTGCAATCGATCAAATAATGTACACTTTTTTTCAATTATTATTGTTATAAAATTAATCAAAATTACAAGGTACGCTTGTATTACGTCTGCTGGAATGGTACGCGTAGGAAATGACCGGCGCTCGCGATTTCGTTCTCCTCGTACATGCATAATTCTTTTACTCCGCAACAGTCCGAACGGCGTCGCGGTCCGAACTATTATATAGATGTGACCGAAAAACGGTGATCGGAAAAAAACTACACGGAAAAAATCGACAAGTAAAAAAACGTCAAATGTATTTCACTTCATAAGTACAAATATTAGTGGCCGATTATAGGCGGCTGACCACCGATCAAATAACTGCCGCTATATTATATTCCAAAGGCGCGCCTTGGATTTTTTTTTCTTGGGGGGGGGGGGCGGAAGAACTAACTGTATTATTTCTGTACAATAATAGTATCCGAGCAAACATTATGCGAAGAATATTTAACTGGGAAAAGAGATGTATACAACATTTTTTATTAACCATATAGCATTATAGCATGCGATATTTATGATTCATTATTATTGACTTTGATTGACTTAAAAACCGATATTAGTGATTTTTATATAAAACGAATTTGACGTATTTTACCCGTGTTGTTAGTCTTTTCCTGGATTCGTACATAACAACCCGACGGCTTATCGTTAAAGTCAGCCGCCGTTTACCAAACATGCTATGTTTACAATATTATCACAGTATATTTAATCAGATGAATAATAATAGTCAGAACAGAACCATTGATTATTATTTGTTAAAGTTTTTCATTGATCCGTAATAATGCGTATTGTATTGCATTATCTATTATTTTAGTTTTGTAATAATATTTACTTTTTTCTGTCAACTATTTAATCGTACCTGCAGCCCGTTCGTACATCCATATGCACGGAGCTTAATGAAAAATATTATTTACTCGTTGCGCCATTATGTATTTTTATAGGCGTATTTTCGCGAGTCGTTTAAGCGCAATAGTAATCATGATTAATAAACAATATGGCATTATCAATGTGCTAATGATAAAAATAAACGTAAACATTGCCTGCTGGTGTACAGACGGGGGAAGCCGTAATAGTTTCCGGAAAATAAACGACCACCGAACGTTAGAAATCTATAAAGTAAATTTAACCGACAAATAAAATAACCAAAACAGAAACAGAATAATTTCAGAATGCGTATGTTTACTGAATGTAATACCGGTGACTGTAATTATCCAGAAAAAAAAAATGACCAGAAAGTAGGAACTAAGAAAACAAAATCGTCATATTTTGATTATTTGTTGTCATTTTTAAATTTTTATAATATCCGCAATGATTTCCGAGAAAATCGAAACAAATTTATAATAAAGGTCCACACTGACTGTACCCGTAATAGGGATACTGCACCAAAAGCCGAGAAATAATTTTTATCGGTATATTACTTTCTGGATTTTTATTGTTTATAGTTTTTTTTTTTTTTTTTCTGTTGAAATATTTTACGGATTCCTAATTTTTGTAAATCTCTACTTTCTGGAAACCCGCACGCTATTGATTTTAATTCTGACGTACCGTATTATTATCTGGATTTTTACGTTCTACGGATAATATACGTTCCATAATCAGTTTACATTCTGTATAATATTTATTTTCGTTAATTTCGTTTTCGGTTGTAATATTTAACGGGATTTTTACAATCTGGCTGGCAGCTTTGAATTCTGTGATTTTATTTACTGTATATTTAAACGCTCTGTCAATCTGATGGAATCCCGATGGTTTTTTTTTTTCTGTCTGGAACATTGTATAGAGACCCAAAGACGGCTCTCTATTCGTTGTGTGTATCCGGACGCACCACACGTCAACAAATCGTTCAACTTCCGGCGCGATTAATCGTTTAGAACAGCGGTTCTCAACCTGTTCGTACCGTTAACACACAGTTTGACATTTTTCGCGTACCACTCGATACGATTATTCGACCTTTTTTTTTTTGTTCACTCGTCGGAAAATGAAACGTGTACGTAGTTTTTCTACTATTAAATCTGCGTAATATTATACGGCCATTTTAATACGCGGACGTGAAATTAAACATGCTATAGCTCCAAGTTCTGTGAACGTCTATTATGAACCAACAAACTGCATTATCATAACTGATAACAATGTTCGTATTTTTCTTCTCGTTCGTCGAAACGTTTCTCCTCCTCGCACCACCCATGAGCCATCCGAGCGCCACTAGCGGGTACGCGTACACCGCAGGTTGAGAATCGCTGGTTCAGAAGACGCGACGATACAGCGGCCATATTAATGGCCATGTGTACACCGTGGCCGCACGTCGACGCGGCCGTTTCGAATCGCGCTCGGCTGTAATATTTATTGTCGCGTACCCGCGCACGTGTGTTGGCTTGCGGGGGACCAACGCGGCGTCGTCGGCCGCGATAAAAGCTCAGCGCGTCGCGTCATCGGTTAACGAACGTTAATGTGTCGACTCGTCGTATACAGGGTGTACCAGTAACAGACGGTGACCCACGGAATAGATTGTGGGAATAATTTGTTTTTTTCTTTTTTTTTTTTTCATCCTTATCGTCGTGATTTCGCGCGACACGTACGTTCTTCAGAGAAATCGAACGCTGTATTTCGTTTTGAACGCTTTAATTTAATAACGTGATCCGATCATATCGAGAAAAAAATCCGATAATCGTTTGAAACGTCGGAGAATTTCGCGGAAAATTCTGCTGCGGTTTTTTTTTTTTCATAGACAATTTACGCAGAAATCCATACAGGTTTTAACATTAGAAGAAGAAAAAAAAACTGTATACAGAGTGATTTTTTTATCATGAATCAGCAATTGTCTCTGAGGGTTTTAAATGAATTTGATTTCTGTTCTATCTAATCATTATGGAACCGTTTAAGCTTCATTTTAAAACCATTTTTAACTTTTCGCCTCTACTTCATATACCTTAAACAAGTGTATATACTTGCCTATCTATAACTATTCCCTACTCCTCCGGTCTAAACTTTAAACTTGTATAACTCGGTAAACGGCAAATCTGATATTAATGTTATGCACATCAAAATTTCCAGAAAAATATTCTTTATTCAAATCTGTGTTCAAAAGGTTGGGAGAGTGAGTGGTTTCCATTTGAAAATCAAAAATATGCCCTTATTCAAGGTGAATGGAATAGGGGTAAAAATTTAAAAACGGTTTTAAAATAAAGCTTAAACGACTCCGTAATGATTCCGTAAATCGAATTCACTTAAAATCCTCCGATATAATTACCGGTTCTTAAAAAAAAAAAAAAATTAGCCCAGTATAACCTACAGAGTACGCATCTCGTAGAGTGCGCCACTTGTTTTTCCAATACGCTCTGTATAGTGTAAACACTTTGAGTAGTTTATTATTAGTTATTCAGTATTATATAAATACGGTAATAATCTTGTAGTATAATTATGTGGTAATAAACGAAACGGTGTTTTTTTTTTTTCGTGTCTAAATTTTTTCCCCGATCGTTTGTAGTCTGTGCGCGGATCCCGATGCCGTCGCTCGTTTGTCGCCCACAAAATCGGCGCGTAACCGTTTTCGCCCGGGTATTCCCGTTTTCGTTTTAGAATTTTTCGCGACGCGTCCGGACGTTCAATCCCGACAGCGACACCGTTTCCGGTACGGTTATAATAATAAAAATTGTTGCCGGCCCCGTGGAAACGCGCGCGCGTACCTTCGTCGCCGGGCCCCGTCCGTGGGCGGTCGCTTAAAATACGAATCGCGAAAGATTTTCGCGGACGAATTTTCTGACCCGCGGCCAACGAAATATTGTAATAACCCCTGCGGGCCGTCATTACCGTTGTTGTTGTTGTTGTTGTTGTTATTATTATTATTATTATTATTAGAGTATTACGCGCGAGCAGTCGCCGTTTCGACGCGCTGCCGCAACGAGCGGAGTGCGATCAAAGTGCAGTAAAAAAAAAAAAATTACTAAATAACAATATCGGTGGAGAACAGTTAGCGCGCGCGCACACACGCACACACACACTTAATAATAATAATAATTGATTCGGCTGCTATCGGTACCGAGATAAGCGCCAAATGGCTTCTGCTCGGGCAAAGGGGCCAAAAGGCCGACGACGGCCGCCGCCGCCGCCCGGACACGTCGCAACAACAGCAGCGGTCGCGGCCGTCATTATAATAGTCGCGTGAATACGTAACGGCGCGCGCGACGCACAACGACCGCCGCCGTCCGGGAGCCGTTTTTTTTTTTTTTACACGCATTATGCTAGTCATGTCGTCGCTGTTTCCGCCGCCGTCCGCCAAGAAGATAAACGTCGCCGAAATCGCCGCGGTCGAGAACTGTTGCCCCGAACTCGAATTCGACATGTGGGACGGCCAATTCGAGTTCGTGGGCAACGCTTACCGCGACGGCGACGGCCCCGCAGCCGCCCGCGACTTTGACGGCGACCTGTTGGAACTGCCCAAAATCTCCGGAAAACCTCAATCGTTTTGTGGCGTGCAAAAAGTAATTTCGCCGTCATATGCGTTTTATTATAATTTTTATTTATTGTTCAAAATTTTCATTTATCGACAACACGACTGCGGTCGCGTGTGTGGTTTTTTTTTTGTCGTTTGTCACGCGCCCCTGATGGTTTTTCTATTTGTTTCCATTTGTTGTTGATGTTGTTGTTGTTGTTGTTGTTGTTGTTATGCAATTATATATTATTATAACGTTGTTTGATGACTTTCGTGTATTACACGCGTACAGGTACAAGTGCTGCAAAAACAGATGAGCGCTCTGGCCGACAACCAACACCTGACGGACGAACGGTACGCGCGCACCAAGGAGGAAAACGCCGCGCTCCAGGCCCGCGTCCACATGCTGGAGGAGCAGCTCCGCGACACCGAACTCAGGTGCGAGGAACGGTTGGCGTCCGAGGAGCGCAGGCACAGGGAGCTCGTGACCCGAGTCGACAGGGAGAAGCAGTTGCATGTCGATAACTGTGCCATAAGGTTAGCATTACAATTTTTGTATAGTAAAGTTGTTGGTGTTGTCGTTATCGTTGTATAAACGGGCCGGGTTTCGGTTGTCATATAATAAATACAGACTTCAGAGTATCGAGGCGGCCAACGATAACCTGCGGGTGGAGGCCGAGAAGTGCAAGTCCGCGTTGGATCTGATGCGGAACGAAAAAACGTTGTTGGAACAGCGGGTAAGCGATCTCGACGTGGGCGCGCAGTCGTTCAAAGACGAGATACGCCTGTTGGAGGCGGAAATCAAGAAGCTGAAACTCCGGGAGAGGGACAACGAAAAAGTGCGTCCGCGATGTGCCCGCGTATACACCAGCCTGTCTATGTTGTACAATCGATGCTAATTGTAATCGTTTTTTGTGTATTGTGTGCGTTTGCATGTATAGATCATCGACGGTCTGACCAAAGAATTGGAATTGTCCCGGCTGGAAAAAGAAGCGATGGTCACCGAACTGCGCGCGCCCTCGCCGTACGTCACAGAACTCACCGCTCAGCTGGAGTCTCTGAAACACCAGAACCGATGTAAGATTTGCCGTAGTCTTGCGTACGGTTGTTCGTTTTTTTTTTTTTCGTTTCGTATTTATTTACATTTCTCTTGTTCGTCGTTTCAGCGCTTAAAGATTCGTACGACGAACTGCAGGCCTCGTCCATAGCCAAAGGCATAGAGAGAGGCAGACTGTTGTTGACAGAGTCGCCGAGCCTCGCGTCCGAACTCGACGGATTGACCCACGACGACGTAAGTGCACAATACGATACGCACAACTACGCGCCTGCGCGATATAATAATCGAAAATTTGAAATTCGTTAAATCAGCGGTAGGAAAAAAAAAAAAACGTGTCGTCCTATTAATAATCTGTTGACAATAATATTGCGAAAAAACAAAGCTTAAAAATAACAATTCGTACAGGGCAGAAAAAATTCGATCAAACGATTATTCGGAAGAATATACACATATTAACCAGGCGAAACGCTATACTATTATAATTGACCATGTACAAATTAATAAATACCATTATTAATAATTATTGTTATTACTAATGTAACGAACACACACGAGCAAACTATTACAACATAATTCACTATAGACGTCTTAATCGTTTTGCCATGATTCATTATTTATTTTTACGTTGACAGTACACTTAACAATAATACTATGATAATATGTGTGTACGTATATTATTTATTGTAATATACACTTGAAAAAATATAATTTTTTATTTTCATTTTTTTTTTTTTGCTCGTTTTCACAGCACAGTCCCTCGTCTTTGCAATTAAACAAGGTAATTTTCAATATTTTTGGTTTCTAATAAAATACCTGTATGCGTATGTATAATACTATAATAATAATTGATCGAATTAACAGTGATTGGCTTTTGTATTTTTTTTTTTTTTTTCTTATGTGTTTTTACATTTTAATCGCATTTGGTTTAATATTAATCTTGTAGGCACATGTATAGTTCATAACGGTGTCGACTAATAACCATTAATATTATCACTATTAATATTCGCTGTTCAATCGTTTTTCATTAACCAATCGATCAAATTATCATTATCATATTATGTTACTACTAAATAAGCATGTCCGTAAAGCGCTCGATCTTTATCACTTTCTGTACGCGGTCAAACTCTCAATGTCGGATTCGTAAGAGAGAAAAAAAAAAAAAGGGCAAATACTGATGATGGGTGTAACACTGTTCTAGGCGGGAAGTTGTAATGAGGGATATCGGAATGTAGAGTAATTTAATTTTCATCTATAAGTACGCAACTGTAAACAATCGCTTACAAAAAACGATTCTGAGCCTAGTATTATTAGTCGTATTTCCCCCCTTATTTGCCAAGGTGACCCAGAAATTAACAAAACTTCTACAAAAAATTGCTGGTTTTTTTTCATTTACAAGAAAATATGTATACAATTTTTTGAGAGCCTGATTTCTGGTAGAAAAATTGTAGACAGACAGAAAAAAAAACTGTAATAGTAAAATGCATACATTCCTAATTCTCACTTCGCTCAGAATCTAAAAGATTGGAGGAAAAACAACTGTATCCCTATGAATACGTGTTGTAAAATCACTTCAGCTTCTTGGTATTTCACCTATTATAACCTTGTTTTACCTACCTTTTTGTGTTTCTTTACACTTCAACATGTGGTTATAATATATTACTTGATTATAATTATCTGCAGAGATAAAATACCCAAGTATCAAAATAAGCAAGGTTATTATTTTATTTTATCACCAAACAATAATATTATCAACAAAAATTTTAAATTAATTTAAATTAAATTTTTCAATTGTTTAAAATAGTGTTTAATGATCACATTCACACATTTTGAAAATATTTGTATGCTAATAATATCATAATGTACATACATAATATTTTTGCGGATTCAAGTGAGAAGATAAAATCCAATTATCAGTTAAAATATATTTAAACTATGCTCTAAAGTCCAAAGTAAAGTAGTCACTTCAATTTATAATATCGTTGATTATTATCATGTTCATACGAGTCTCTTAGGAATGTTTGAAACACTCTCAAAAAATTACCTAAGTATTCAGACCAATAAGATATGACAGACAAATATCGCTAACTTATACTACTTGTAATAATACTATATTTGTAGTTTTATCATGTTTCATATGTGCTTTGCATGTGTACTAATTTTTTAATAATTGTTTGTTTTACAATATATATATATTATTGTTAACTACATATTTTTATTACATTTTATTATTGTTTTGTTATTATACTCGCATTATCTGTGGGTTTATGATGGATCGTTTGAATTGCCGTTAAATATATAATATTTAATATCTTTTTATATAACAGTTTCATATCATATTTTCTATTTAATTATTTCAGATGAAGACCGCTCTGAAAGATCAACAAGAAGTCAACGACCAGTTGCGCACGTATATCGATAACATTCTGCTGAACATTGTCGAAAATCATCCTGAACTATTGGAAGTCAAACAAAACTTATGAAAAACTACAATAATAATAAAACATATACACAATGTTCCTAGTGTAATCTTCATCATGTTCAACAATCATCTGGGGGGTGGTGAGGAGCTCCGCTAAAACCCAACATCATTCTTCCAATTGAACATGGTGATCTCATGATCAGTATAATTGTTGTTGTTGCTGCTACTACTGCTGTTGTTTTTTCCACTATCGTTACACCTATATAATTTCTTATTTATTGATTGTTCTTGATTTTTTTTTTTTTTTATCCCATTATTTTCAATTCAACAAAAAATGTTAACAGTGATAATATAATATTATACTGTGTTTAATCTTTTATTTATATAAACGAATCATTTGTGTGCATAAATGGTTGTAAAAGAAAAAAATTTGTTGAGAAAATATAACTAAAAAATAAAAATATACCTACCTGTTTAAGAAACGATAGATAAATATATTTTTATAATTATATCCGTCCAGTTATATAATATTATACAATTTATTAAATTAATTCTATTAATTTAATAAATATAAATGTATATATATATATATGTATGTATATGCATATGTATATAAGTGTTGTTTAATTTTACTCTTATATATTTGTATTGTAAATTGTAATTATTTTTAATCGAGATAAAGTATAATATTATTAGATAGTTCGCCGATATATTATAACAATATTATCATTGTTGTTACTTTATATAATATTGGAGTACTAATTAATTTGTATTACTCTTATCTGTTCGAAAGAGACTGTGATGTGGTATTAACATAATATATTTAGCCCTGTTTTATAATAATTGAGTCCTGTGCCAGTTCACAATCAATATAACAGTATTTTTTTACATAAATTATACATCTTTTTTTTTCTTCTTTTTATTCCTCAAACATCCAGTTGGCATAAAAACATTTAATGTTTTTATATTATTCAGTATTTTTGATAGTTGTTATTAATATTGCAAAATAGACTAGTTTTTGCTCAGAATCTAGATGAACGGACAAAAAGGAGCAAGGAAAAAATGAAAAAAAAATTTAAAATATTTTAAGTAATAATTTACTAATATGATTATTAATCAGCAGTAGCACTGTACTAACATTGATTATAGAATAGAATAGAATAGAATAGTCTATTCTATAATCAATGTTATTAAACTGTAATTTATAATAATCATCCAGCATAAATCACAGTCTTGTTTATACAAGACCGTGATAGGGTTTCCAGTTTCTTTATTACCATTTTATTATATACAATTTAGTCTGTAGTCTGTCAGTTATACGTGAATAGTTTATCCCATGGTTTTATTTTAATGAACATCTGTCAATGATCAAATATTATTTAAATGTACATTTTTAAATCCAATAAAGGACGTGGATAATAGGCTTTGAAGGATTTACTTATGTAATCATGTAATCAAGTACAAGGGAAAAAATTATTTTACTTGGAAATGTTCAACAAATAATACTATTATAAACTGTCCTGGAATCCTAAGAACTAGTATTCTAAAAACTGACCCTTCTGTGACAACAAAACATAATCATACTGCAAGTGAATCTGATGCCAACGCTGTAATGTACAGTGTCACCGATGATTAATAATCATAATTGTAAATTACTAATTTAAAGACTTTAATTGTTTTTTTTCCTTTATCTTATTTTCCGTTGTTCTTTTTGCATTCGTTAATATAACTTAACAAGATTAAAATGGCTGAGTTTTCGAATATATATATATTTATATATGTTAAGAATGCAACAAAGAAACTTACATAAGTGTATAAAGATGAACATGATAAAATGCAAATACAATTTATGATAAAATAGGTATTACCTAATTTCAAGAAATCCTTAATTAATACAAAGATATGTTTAACGCAGTTAATACTTTACTTTTAAAATTAGAATTAATTTTCGTTTGAAACACCATCTTGACTTAGGTTTACATTATTCAGGACACTATCCACTTTGCTGTAAGTTGGTAATTTTTGTTAGGTTAGCATATAGACATAAAACAATTATTTTTTATGTTTATGGGTAAGCAGCTATTCCTCACATGTTTAGCTAAACATCATCATTGTTGGGTACAGACATAATATGTTAAAAAATGATGATTTTATAATATAAAAAGGCCAGACAAATGTTATTAATGGTACCTTCATTAATTCAGTAACCAAAAATTCAAAATTAAGGCACACACTACATATTACAATAAAATGTTTTGTAAATTAAATTATTATTTGAAACAAGGGGTTGGGGATAATATTATAAGCACTAGAGTTTATTTTGCTATACCGCTTAATGAAAATTGCTTAAAAAAATATCCTCAGTGAACAATAGCCATAGCATAAACATTTAAAAACCCTGATAGATAATCATCCTGCTATAAATTAATGAAGGTAGGGCTTGGTTTTTAAAATAATAATTTACTCATAAATAGAAAAACAAAAATGTTAAATCATTTAAGAATCAAAAAGGGTTCTCAAATATCAATAGGAGTGAATGTAGTTTGGGGTACACAGGTAACCCTTAAGTCAGGAACTACTTATATTATGAAGATCATTTGTCTATAATGATTTAATGATATACAACTAATATTTTGTTTAAATATATTTAACAATAGTAAATATAATGATTAAATAATAAGAACAATAAATTAAATGAGATCGGTAAAATATTTAAAACTTTAAACAGTTGACATCAGTATAACTCCAACCATGACTGAGAGTGTACCGCAGGCCCACAAAAATGAACAACTCTCGCCAAATAATACTACTCCAGTAAGAGCCTGTAAAATAAAACAATAATATTAATACAATTTTTTATTTAAAGGAGCTTCACAAATAAAAAAATTTAATATTTTTACCAAAAAAAACATTAATAATTAGGCTAGTATTTTAAGCAATTTAACGAATTGCATAAAATTGAATATGGTCAGCAAACAGTTTATTTTTATTATACTCATTTTAAAATAAATGTATATACATTTTGAAAAGTTCGATGTTTAGTTATAAGTGGTACGTGACAGATCCATAATAATACATGAATGGTATGCAAAAAAAAAAAAGTGAACATCTCTGGTTATAGTAACAAATTAATGCATCCACACCTCATTGTGGTTTAAAAAGTAACAATAAATAAATATTTTGATTTAAAAATAATCTACTTGTCTACTATGTCCAAACTTTGGGCGAAGAGGTGGTACCTACTCTGCCATCCATCCTACAAAAACGCAATACTTGAAAAACAATTTCATCAACTAAAAGAAAATTTTAATACTTATTTTTAATGAATCAAGTTTACAAATGGAATAATTAAGGATCATTTTATGTTTTTGCAGATAAAATGTTCTACAAAACATTTATTTGTAGAGTACATCTTAATATTGAAATTATATACTTGTAGTAGTAGTCGTTTACTTACTGTAAAAATGTAATTGGCCGCAATACTAATGCCGGTGATGCCTATAGTTGGGCCAAATTGCAAAGATTTGGTGTACATGAGCCATACACCTATGTTGGCCAGGATGACCATCACTATCGCGATGAACCTCCCCAAATTGATGAACGAAAGCTGCACAATTATTAAATGTCAGTGTTACAGAGATAACTGATTTATAGATAGGGTAAAGGTACTAATGTACCTACACTAGTTAAAGGAATACCAATAAAAAATTATATAATTCTAAAAATAAAGCTAGGTATAGTATTTTATTTGATCCTAAATAGAAGGTAAGATGCAATATTAATTTGAATTAATCACAATTAGATGATATCATACTTATTAGAAAGAAAAAAATCATCAATGACAGACAGACGTTGAAAATTTTGATGTTTGATTTGTGTTATTATTAGGTACTTAAATTGTTAGATCTGAAACTCCTAGAATGTGTGATTTATTTAATAAATACTAGTAGCATTCGTTGGTGTCTTTATTTTTATTTATGTACGAGGTTAGCGCTTACTGGGCTGTCCCCAAAATATCCATCTAGACCCATTCCGATTTTTCCGAAAATGCCTGCTGACGAACCGCATATCCCGGCCAAAGTGGCGTACATGACACTCTTCACCCGGAGCTGGTCCATGCCAGAGCCGTTATCGGAACAAGAACACGGTAATTGACTGAATTCGGTGGGTACATGTAATCCTATCAGGAATGATGTAACAATAACGCCTCCGTAGAATGTTGAGCTACAAATGCTACGATCGATTATCTTTAATTTACAGACGTCCCGCAGGTCGCAGTCGTAGCGTCCAACCGCTCCTCCAGGGGAAAAATCGTTATCGTGCAACTTGTTGAAACCTATAGATATACATATAAATATAAATATGTAGGTACTAGATAGTGGGTATAGATTAATGTATACTTAATCAATGTAAGTGACTTGCTGATAACACATTGGTTGGAAAACTTATAAGTGTTCAATGGCGCTATCTAGTATTTTTATATTATATTATATGTTGGCCTGTTTAAGCGGTGCAGATTTGAGCAGCCTGGTTACTCGTTGAGACTAGTACAATTTTTTTTGGCAGGAGACACATCTACGAAGTCCATGATATTGTGTATTTAGTATAAAAAAAAAAAAACAATAAAGTGCTTAAACACGAAAAAACTAAAAAAAATTGTTTAAAAAAACTGTGCGCGCGCAAAAACGAAAAATTTTGAACATGTACGCAAATACATAAAATTACGAAAACAAAATACTACAGTACGCGCTGTAAACAAACACAGACGCAGTTTCAAAAACGGCGGCGCCGTCGGTGGAAGTGGCTGCGGCCAGCCTTCGGGGAGGTTTAGTGGTGGAAATGTGCAAGATCGGACGAATTTTGATCGCCGCCCAGAAGCGTTCTTACGATGGCACTAGTTTAATTATAATTATTATTGTAAATAAGTAATCCGTTAATGATAACTATTTCATATTGTATTTTTAAATGTTTTAGATTTTTTACTGTATTGTAAATATAATAAATATCTCCACAACAAAACACGCATGCAATACTACATAGTTAGATTTTATTAAATATGTAAGTGCAACTATTTCTAGTAGAAAAATATAATTTTAAAAATTTTTGATAATGAAACTGTTACACTAAAATTTGAAAAAATCTTTCATCTTTTGGTTTTTCCAACTATTATGGGAACCAAGAGATAATATTTTCCTTGGCCAGCTGCTATATTTTAGAAGTAGAACAAACGATCTCTTTGTTATTTATCGATTTGGAACAATATTGCTAAAAATTCAAAATAATGAAAACGATAACCCCGTGGTGCTACTGATGCACCGTTAATATTTGTCATTTTACCAATAACTTTCCGGTTTTTTGTAATTATTTCGAAAACCCCGTAGAAATTAAAAATCTACCTTTCGGGAAAGGTGCTACACTTTACACATTGGATCATGATTTCAGGGTG